GTGTGTGTGTGTGTGTGTGTGTGTGTGTGTGTGTGTGTGTGTGTGTGTGTGTGTGGCCCAGGGCTAAATCAGCGATGATGTCAAACAGCAAAGTAATGGTTCTGTCTGCTCAGCCTTCAGAACGTTGCGTTACAGTGATATACGGTGGCCACACACAAAATAGATTTTCTGGTCAGTCAAATTTGGGGGATGTGTTGGGATGTGCGTGCAGACTTTCTGTTGGTTCAATATTACTACAGTATTGTGTGTAGTTACATAGATGTTGACTCGAATGGATTTCAATATGGCGCCAGCGCATGTCACTGTCCGGACTTCTAAAGTTTTGTGCTGAATGCACTCCAACCACGCCCTGCTCAACTGTCAATCAAAGACCAGTCCACCTTTCTTATGAATACTCATAACTAAAAATACATTCGCTTAAATCCTCTTCCTTGACGGGCTTTCAGTGGCGGGGAGACCTAAGAGGCAACATGCAGATTGAGATGATGGAATATATATTTCAAAAGTCAGGATTGGTATTCAAAAATATCTCAAGTCAAAAAACGTACCGAGGGACTGGATGTACGAATTTATCATAGAGGATCAACAATTTGGCATCGTGCTGGAGTCAAAGGTCGGCTTCAAAAGGTCAGTTGATTGAGAGGGGAACAGCAGCTGTGTGACTCCAGTGCCACCAGATAGCCACAAATGTGAACAAAGGTACTGTACATGTATGTGATTTGTCCAAAAAACAATGAAAGAAAGGTTACAAAAAAAAAAAGATCGTACCAAACACAATAAATTTGATGGACAGACAAGATCGCGAGTAAACTCCAACGATTTTCTGGGAATAAACCTTGATGAATCACTAAACTGTAAAAATCATATTGATTCTCTTGTTTCAAAAACAAAATTGCCAAAATATGTGGGCCTCTTTATTAACCCCAGATATTTTCTTCCACCTCCCAATACTCCTTATATAATATAAAACACTATTTGAACCTAGCCTAACCTCTTCAGGACTACCGTGTTCTTAGTCTGTGCATTTTACAGCAATGATCTTCAAGTATAATGTATTTAGAAACAAACCAATGAATTTACTCGACGGTTAACAGGATCTTTCAGGAATAACCTCTTGCATCAAAATCAAAATCAATCACACAAATTAAACCGACGTGATTTATCAATTAAAGATAGATAGCAGTGGTGCCTGCTGATTTTTCAAATAAGAGGAAGCTCAGCTCCGCCTCAGACAGATCATCCGCTCATTATGCAGAAATTGAGTGCCGATAGATGGATAGATAGATAGATGGATAGATAGAGGAGATGAGGCGATGGATAGATGGCGTGACCTAAAAAGGCTCCATCACCAGGAGGCATGGAGTCAGCCAGATAAATAGACAGACCTTTAAAGAGCGCCACAAAGCGTCTTCCCCAACTAGTCCAGACGGGTTGTCTGCATGTGAGGGCAGAGAAGAGATGAGATGGAAGAATGGAGGGCACCAGGAAATAGACAGACAGGAAATGAACACCAAGGAGTGGGGTGCGCACAGGAGAACGAGGCTTCGTCTGTCTTGGCCTTAATGGTCCAAATGAGGCTGGGGGCGGGTGTGATGGGCCACTTGGGGCTATATGCGTGGTGGGACTTCACGGAGGTGGGGATCGAGAAGGGAGAGAGTCGGAGCCCAAAGACAGAGGCAGACCAGTGCAAAGTGAGTCAGGCTCAACACCATATGAGCTGGCAGCTTGTCACATTCCAGGTCATCATTGAGGGACTTGATAGCAGAGACTGTTGGACCACAGAGCAGCTTCCATCACTTCAAATACACAAACATACTTGAAATGATCTTAAAGGTTTGTTGTTTTTCCTTCTCCAAAGCTGTGTGAGGGCATTTTCTGCATTTATGCATAAGATAAGAAAACCTTTATTTGTCCCACAGTGGAGAAATTTGCATAATTCTAAAGGTGTGTTATATCTAGTGATGACAAAGCAGTTTAGATAACGGATGGATGGATGTAGGTATTGCAGGTGTAAGGAAAACCGACTTGATGCACGCCACTAATTACTATTGCTCTGAGCCATGCTTTTTCTTTTTTTAATGTTTGGAATTATCAAATGTTATAGGTGTAATGAGTTAATGACCTAGAGCCATTGAGTTATTGTTTAATACAGTATTTTCACATTGTGTTTCTAATCTATTGCTTTTAGTTTGATCAACAGACTTTTTTTTTTCCATTCAGCTTTCGGGCAAAAAGAAAAAACATGGTTCACTCCAACCAAATAACCAGCAGAGACGAACATGCGCTGTCTGCAGGGACTATGGTTGACAATCTCAACGGAGAGCGGGGGGGGGGGGGGGGGGGGGTGGCATGGATGGTGGAAGGCTGCAGATTGCATATTTAAGAAAATGTTGTTGTGAAAGTACTTCCACTTGTTTAAAGCTGTTTATGCAGCTATGTTCATGTCCTGCACATCTTCGTCTCTCATTGGAATATTCATGCCAATTAAAAGGCACTGACTAAAAATAGGCAACGATGATTATGTTCACGGGAATCCTGTATGAAAATTAGTTGTGTATTATTGAAATGAGGAAAGAACATACAATGTATCTTGAATTCATTCAGTGGGAAGGACTTAGTCAAATCTTTGCATTTCAGTAAACTTTCAGAATTTTACAGAATGGTTCAGAATTTCTCTCTCTCTCTCTCTCTCTCTCATGTGGTCATGCATCTGGTTGTGGCATGGAGATGAAAAATTGTGCCCATTCCATCATTTAAAATTGTCCATTCCTGCTCCGATCTTCTCAAGGCTAACTGACTGTATCGCTCTCCTCATTCCCACAGTGGTGAAGCGATCACGTGATCTTCACAAAGGTGTGCGTTGTCGTCAGGTCAAAATACCCGCAGAGCACAGAAGCCCTCCTCAGGATAAAGTTACAGCTCAGGCTCTGCATTTAAGCTGAGACCAAAGTGAGCCTTCACAGCTGCGCCATTGACGTTGGTCACGATAAGTCTCCTCTCACATTTTCCTTCATCGTTTTTGAGGAAAATAAGCTTCAAGCTTTCATCTTAATTTACCTACTGTTAAAATCTGGGAACATTCTGGCAAGACTAAAACAAATTGCTCCCAAATAGCCTGAATGCTGAATGGATACAATAAATTGGGAATTTCTCCATTGTGAGACATAGAGGTTTTCTTATCTTAAAAGACAACTTTATTTATATTGCACATTTCACAACAGCTACGGCTGTAACAAAGTGCCTTACATAAAAACAACAATTAGTAAACAAGACCCCAAGAACCACAGAATTAGTCCCTGGGCCTGTTCTTAAAACAGCTTATCGGCGATGGGACATTGTGATTTCCTAGAAGTGTTCAAGTGATCATTTAGGAATCTAAACACGAGCAGAGATTTCCAGAAAGAATTGTTGCATATTGCTATGTAACTGCTTCCTAATTATTCTGAGAAATCATTAACATGATCAGTCTCTTCACATAACTGAATATCATGAATTAGTAATGATAACATATGATAAAAGGTAATTTGAGCAGTGTGTATCAAAAGGGTAGCCGCTCACGCCAATCAGTACCCAAGAAGTAGCTCTAACTTTGAAAAACATTGGCGACCCGTGTCCTACAATTATGCCTGATCTTCAATGTGTACCTTGCAGACTGTTATTTGGATATTGTAATGGTGTAGGACAGTGTGATGTCGACAAATAGGATTTTATTAACGTCTTTGTGTGGGTGATGAAAATTAGGTGGCGGTATGAAGGACAACGAAAACAAAGATGAGAGAAGTTGAGCTTGAGCGTGAGGAAGGAGAAAGGTGTCCATGTCGTACATTCTGCAAATAAACAAAAAGTAAACACCGATGGAGGAAACACTGGAACCTGATGCTGTTGAAGGCTACTCCACAAGTTCATTCAGGTTTCCCAGAATTCCATTCTGCCAGTCAGAAGACAAAAGCAGTGCAAAGAGCCAACACCTCTTCCCCCCCTCAGGTGCAGACAGACAAAAGTGGGTGGTGAGGGGGCGCGATACAACACCCATGTTTGCCGAGATTAAAACGTTACTTTTTCTGCCTCCCTCCCATCGCAGCGCCGAGCTTTTCCCTCCTCTTCCTTCCCAGATAAGTTGGTGAACTGTCACATAACTCCACTCTTGGAAGATCATAAAATAAGCCCCGTGTTTGTGTTCAATTGTTTTGGTGGCATTGTTTTAATGTTGTGATCGTGTGCTTGTGATGTTGAGATGCATGTCTCGGTCTTGACGAAGCATGAATGTCACAAAGATCCAATGGCAAGGCCTTACATCCAATGCCAGTCTGGGGAAGTGAAGTGCGATGATCCCACATGTAGCTGTGTTCCACCTATGATCCACTGGTGGTAAACATGGTGGAGGTGGTGGCATTCAGAGGGCAACTTCTCCAGAGGGATATCTGATAATCTGGCAACCTCTGTGGGAGGTCGCACTCTCATCAGCATCCTTTTCGCTCGTCTGCGCAGGCTTCACAATCGAGATTAAGGTAGGTATGATTTCGCCACACCTGACACAATTTTCATTCAAAAAAAGAACTTGAGGTGGATTTTTATTAACAGGCCTCTCGCTTCTTAAGTTAAAATATCAGCTCTCAAGCCCTCACTCTCAGAACCTGCATTGTCAATGCCGCTATACAAACACAACTGCAGTATAATGAGATGTGGTGAGAAGGCCTAAAGTAGAGGTGCATTGAGGGGCCGTGTAAACCGGCCTAATCCCCCTTCGCAGCATTTGTTGTGTCATTAGAGCTGCATGGGACATGTATAGGGTGACACAGGACCTATTCAGCCTTATAGCCCTCAGTCGGCCACACTACCAGGGAGACTATAGTCTCCTGTTCATAGTGACTCTGAGCAACTTTACATTTACAAAGCCAGACTTCACCCTTGAAGACCGCCCAGGACCCCTCCCCTGAGAGTATAGAAGACGTGATTGGCAACAGGCAAATTTCAGAAACCACACACACACAACACCAAACTGCAATTCACCCATTCATCTTTATTTTGAGTGCAAATCTCACAGGAGATGAGATAAGAGATGTGCTTTGCAACAGGCGTTGTCGTCAGATAACTAAACTACACCAGTAATTAGTGTGTCAAGTGTGACATCTACGAAGCAATATTCGAGCCACAATGACAAGAAAACACTCCGAAACAGTGGCGTATAAGAGCCCCGATTTGAACCCCCCAATATCGGAACTGTGAAGCGGATGTGCTAACCACTCGTCCACAGTGCAGCCACTAACACACATAACACTGCTGCACAATTTTTCTGAATATCAAACCGATGATGGAGTTGACGTGCCAAGGTATTGATTTATTTACTAGTTGCTGTCTGTGTAACAAGATAGGATATGTTCATACTTGTAAATTTTGACGACATTCACGTACATACATTGTGTCATATTACATTTTTTCCCCTTATATTTCTTGTAATTATAATGCTTTCTACATAGATTTCTTTTCCAGCATGGCCCTAATACTCATTTGTAGAAGTCCATTAGATTTGTAAAAGCATGTGGTCATTTTAAGAAATGCTGGTTTTACCTAAGACTAACGTTCCTGTAATATATAATTACATTTGTTCTGAAATCTACAAAGGAAAAACTCTTCACTTAATGATTTAAGCTTGACCAGAATTGCTTGTATACAGTGCCATAGAGTTACAGTATACAGGATACAATATACAGTACTTGACAGTGCACACGTCCGTTTCTTCAACATGATCACAGACAGTGAGTAAAATGCCGGTCTTTCAAGTTTCAAAGAACGGTCTTATTGCAGTTTATTCGTTTTACGTTTCATTTCTTTTAATGGAAAAAAATTAGACGCGATGGCACCATGCAGCATTGTAAGGCTGAGCTTTGCTACAGGTAGGAAGCTTGAATAACATTGATAGAGCTCCAGTGCGAACCTACAAGGGGCCATTTTGATATCTCGACCTCCTCTTCTAAAAGCAATGCTCCTTAATATCATCTTCTAATCTAGATAACCGACAAAACTCTGGTTGATGGTTCCTGCCTTGATTAATATTGTGCATCTGTTATTTAAGAGTATGTCTTAAGCCCAGCTACAGCGTTCACATTTTGTGCGTCTATACGAGGTAGTACTCGTGCGTTTTGGCTAAATCTGTAAGCCATAAAATTCTAGACAATGACCGATATCCATATACTGTACATTAGACATATTTTGAGGACCTCATGGAGGACTTGTGATATTGCTTTTGTTTACAGCTCTTATTAGATTATGAACATTAAAATGGATGGCATAATTAAAGGTACCTTTAATGCTCTAGATCTCAACTGTCAGCACAGCGAGCACAGTAAGACTTACATGCCACCTCCAACACACAAAAACGTTACGCTCATCACACGAGGTGGCTCCTGCTCCCAAGTTTTATCAAACGACAAAAAAAAAAAATTTAAGACTGAAGACTTTATTGCAAAGAAAATTAAAGTTTTGCAGAGGATTTAAAAGTTGTCAAATTCAAAATTCATCGTGCTTTGCTCCACACGATATCTTAAAATATGATCATATGATATGATCCTTCTCTACATGCAGTATGAAGCTGCTTCTTTCGTATTTATGGTTGGTATTCATGGTATTTATGGCCAGTCTAAAGTTATTTTAAGACTTTGTGCGCTCCTATCAATGTCCACAAAAACACAGGTACACAACCTAGGTGCTTCTTTGGCACATTCACCTGCTGCCATCTTATGCCAAAGTATGACTCTCCAGCCAGGAAATACATTTGTGTGCACATTGTGTGTGGAAGTGCACCTTGATGAATAGAGGGTTTAAACGTCTTTAAAACTACCTGTGTGCGTGTGGACTTATATCATCTTACAGTCAAGAGCTTAATATTCATTTGGGCTGCTCTTTGAGTTGGTGTTCCCTGAGAGCACCGGTAAAAGTAGCCGTCCACACGTGCAGCGCTGTTCCAGCAGAGAGGGTAAGGAAGAAGAAGAAGGCCACTTGGAAGCCGAACCAATCCACCACACCCCCGGCCAAAGCGCTGAATGTCAGCTTGCCCAACACTTCCAGAGTTGCCAGGAAACTGTAGTGAGTCGCCTAAAATGGGAGAGCAATGACAGCAACATTTATACAACAATATACAATTGGCAAAATACATTGATCAAACAATTGATCTTTGAAAAATCTGTGACAGAAATAGTTGTAGGTTCATGGCAGAGGTGGGCATTCTGTCAGTATAGAGGGACTGACAGAATGACCATTTTGTTGACGGCTGACACAGGAACATCCTCGCCCGTTTGACTCTAATGTTTTATATATGTGTATTTATTTGCATATAACTTTGTATAGTTGTGGTTTTCTGTTAAATTTTGGTGAAATAATTTTTATTCAAGACTGTCCCATGTGTTTGTTCACGGGGGGTGAATCGATTACGAGCAGGTTTGCTTCCATTGACTACACTTGGAAATGCTTTGAACTTCCTGTACAGTAGATGGCGGTATGCACCAAAAAGCTGAAATCCACCAATGAACCAAGAAGATGAAGAAGAAGAAGCAGAAGAATCAGGTGAACGGTGTAGGAATTATATATGTGCTTACCACTTTTGAAGGACTAAAAATTAATGGAACAATAAGCAGTTCAGCTGTTCCGTGGCTTTACTGATGATGAGTTTGCTGATGAGACGGTCTGTATTTTTCTTCACGTCTCAATGTTAATATATATCACAATGTAATCCCCCCCACACAATATCTCTCTTGTGTGAGTGATACTTTTTATTTAAAAATTTATTAAAATTTTCTTTTTTTTGGGGGGGGGGAGAAATCAGTCACCTGAAGTTGTTTAAATGTAGTGTATGAATAAAACTTAACTTGCACATTGTTTATTGTAATGACAGCTATTCCAATGTAAACACTTTGGCACATAGTGAATAGCATACATTTTTATTTGTTGTTGTTGTTGGTCCATGGCCTATTGTCAAGCTTTTTGACATCAAGATTTTATTTGATGTAACTTTTGTTATAATTTTTGATCATTTTATTACTTTAAGAGCTCTGGGATGTTCATGCAGCGACCTCTTTGTACACTTTACTGCACTGCCAATTTGAAGTTTTTTTTAATAAAGGGACAGAAATTATAATTTTGTTCATCCAATTAATCGATTCATGGAAAACATAATTGACAGATTCATGGATCAAAGAATTAAAAGAATAGTTAATAGTACCCCTAATGCGTACACACAAACACATGGTGGTCAATGACAAAAGTCAAATGTGACATTTGTTTCAAGTTGTTCGTAAAATGATTACAACACATATTACAAAGGGAACAATGATGGCTGAAGAAGCACCTCGGAAAAAGAGTGAGCTCATACTGTAGCCTGCAATGATGGGTGGAAGCCAACTAAGAAGAGGATCTGATCTCAGCCTTGAGGCTTTCAGGATGGAGTGCGAATGAAAGATATTAGCTAATCTCTCCCAGCTTTGCCTTTCTTCCCAAGAGCACTGCATTTAGCAGGTAACTACAGCATAACCATTCTAAAGGCAGAATGCCAATAAATACTGAGCAGTTTCTTCAATATATTTCATTAGAGAAGTCACGGGAAATGTTCCACCACATAGGCCTACTGTATATATAGATGTAATTTTATGGTCATTTTAAAACATCTCAGCCAAAGTATATGGAGCAGTTCCATCTGTCATCACTTAATCACTGCAAAGGGCATCAATCATCGGTAGGATGCGAATGAAATGACTGACGAGTGACGGTGTTGAGTTTGGAGTGACCAAGCATACCGAGAAGCCTGTGTGGCCACATCTAAGTGGCGTTCCTTTCTTCCAAGCAACTTGTTTCACCGATTTGGTTTCTTTCTCCTGGGGATCGTGAACAAGCACTCACACTATCGGCTTTCAGTCACTGGATAGCTCTACCTTCAATAGCACTCACATACTGTACTTCCGTGTGCATGGCCGACTTAACGCGCTCCCTCTACCGTGTGCATGCACACACACATGGTAGACTGAAAAAACAGTGTGTGTGTGCGTGTGTGTGCATGTGTGTGTGTGTGTGTGTGTGTGTGTGTGTGTGCGCGTGCATGCATCACGAGAACCTTTTAAATGCGCCATGGTTCATATCATCACAACTTTGGTTGATTCTCTCTGGCTACTTGCCACAGTAACAAAACAAACGTTATGTCAGCTAAACTGTCTGTGATTTTCTTTTCCCCTTTTGAATTTGCCTTTCTTGTGCACTTTAAGCATGCCGGCAATTAAAATGATAATTTGTCACCTTGAGATCGACCGAGTGAATGGCTGCGCTATGACAACGATCACCTCCAGGCAATGATGGCCCAGTTACGACGGGGACAAAAGGAGTTATGTCAAAGAGGAGAAGACGAAAGAGAAGCGGGAAAAAGTCCGAATGGAAAAGGGAGCACTTAAAGGGACCAGAGAATGACAAAGAAATAGAGTGAGGTGGTTTGGGGGGTACTCTTCTGGTGAGGAGGGGGACAAAACAGAACGGGCGGGGAGGGTCAAAGAGGAAGGAAGTACTGAATAGAAAGTGGGTCTGCTAAGACTTTTTGAATTTTTCCAGGTGGAAACAGCTGATGAGAAGTGACAGGCAGAGTGGGTGACGGCAGCTAGATGGTTCTTGGTGCGCTGCTGTTAGCCAGGAATTGCCTGACTTCCTCCCATTCGTTGTTACAGGAAGTCACATCCCATAACGGCACAATTAAACTGAGATTAGAAGATGGTTAGCAAAGTGCAAAGAAACAAATTGCCAACATGAGATGACCTCACACTTACGAAAAAAAAAAGTTGCCTTTTAGCAGTTTGGGCTTCGACAATAACATGACTCTTACCTGAATGCTTTCCTCGGCCCTCTGAGTGCAATGCATCATGGTCGTGAAAGTGAGCGTGGTGATCAGACCGCCCAGGAAATGTTGAACGCTCATACTCAAGACGGCCATACCTTAGGGAGACAACATTGACAATGTTGCAAAGCAACTCCACAGAAAGACCATCTTTAGCCTGCCAGTGCTTGCTACGACACCTCGCGTCAAACTCAAAGCATGCTGCTGAAAAGTCTTTTCTAACTACCGACGCCCACCCCCACCCCCTTCTGTCCCCAAAACACATGTAGTGTATCCTCTGAGGGAAAGCGCAGAGAGGTGTCGGTGAGAAACACAGAGGAACCACAGAGCTGATCTGTCACTGCTCCTGCGAACGCTGAATTATTCACTCAAGCTGCAAGAGTTTGTGCACAATAAGACTCTTCAATCACACCACACACACACACACACACACACGCACACACACACACAAACGCAACGATCAGACTGGAGCCGTGGAAGTAGAAGGTTATCATGTAATATTGAAAATTCCGAAACTGAATGTTTTTCCCTTTTCTTTTATTTCTGGTTCCTTTTTCCCTGATATTTTTTGTTTCGGCTTTAAAGAGAGGGGGGAGGCATTCACTTCAGTCTGAGAGGCTGAAACGGGAAACAGAGAACTGGTGGAGAAAAGTGGCGCTCATCTTATTCCCAAATGCTTTGAGACGAGCTGTGCAACTCAATAACGTGTCATTCAGGCAATAACGACTGAATGGCTCTCGGGAGAGAGAACACCAACCTCATTTGAATAATTTAGAGGACTTTTATTTTCCTCTATACTTGCAATCATTTGGTTTTAGAATGTTTGTTTTATAGATGTGATTCTTTTTTCATTGTGTCGCCTTTGAAAGGAATTAGTATGAACAGCTTTCATCATGTGTTTGTAACAAAATATTTCACTTTAGTTTCAAGGAAAAAAAAACGCAGCAGGACTTCAACCGTAACTTCTTTAATGGCAAATAGGACAAGATGGGCCTACGTACTCATTCAAAAACAATGACGATGAACAAGAATGATCACTATTATACCTCTACAATGATAATATTACTCAGCTAAGATTGCTAGAGCAGAGAGTTTTTATTATTTATTATCATGGTGTCGATTGTAGTGGTACAGAACTGCAAAAGCATCATTGCTATTTTGGATGCCTTCTTTGACATCTGAGCGCTATTGTGTTTGTCAAGACAGACTCTTGTGTTGATGTTTTCACGGCCGAGTATATTCTCCAGTAGAGAAAAAAATGCTGAAAGATTTGACTGAATTTCAATAAATATCTCACCTTTCATGAGTGGCGATGGTTCCAACACAGTGAGCAAGGTGCTCTGGAAGACCATACTGACGGTCCGCAAGACGAAAACACGTCGCATCAGCGCGCCGATGCTAACGGGGACAAATAAATGATGTAGAGATCAGAACAAAAAGAATGACAAGTGACAAGACAAGACATTCTCAGTTTCTCTTCATGATTCTCTTCATTCTCTACACACGCACGCACACACACACACACACACACACACACACACACACACACACACACACACACACACACACATACATACACACAGGCGAGCATGCACGGGTGCTTAAGTAAACAAGTCCCCAGACACTAATTGATTCGCCGTTAGAGCAAGAAAATCATCCCCCTGTGGTTTTGGTTCATGACGTAATCAATAAGCTAAGGAGAACCCCAGCATGGGGAAGATAATTAATCACCCTTAATATAAACAAACAAACATGCATGCACATGAACCCACACTGTTTTTTGACATCAAGGATTAACAATGCCAATCACTCAGGGGATACCTGCCACTCAAAGAGACAGAGAGTGTGTGTGTGTGTGTGTGTGTGTGTGTGTGTGTGTGTGTGTGTGTGTGTGCATGCGTGCGCTTGCTATTGTGTGAAAAAAAAAAGTAGAGATGTAAAAAAGAGGAAAAAAAACATCTAAGATGTGAGCACATTTTGTTTTATGTGGCGTAAGATAAAATGAAGACTCAAGTATGGCCTGTCAGACTTTTGCTTGCATTGAAATCATTTATTGCATTTTGGCGAATGTTGACACGCTTTAAAAAGGATTGTTTTACGTTAACCAAACTGTGTGCATGAGGAAGGAGTGCACATTGAAATGTAGTTGCAGAATGTTTCATTGAACTCCCATAACAGTCCCATACTGTCTATTTTGGTCGACTGGTGCTCGTGATGCAAAACAACCCCTTTCTGGACTGTATAGTGGCCACGTGACTCAGATTTGCGCTGCTTAGACCCGATTTTCAATGAGCTGTGAAGCATTTTCCCAATTAATGTGTGATGTTTGCAATTACTGAATCAGAAAATAAGTAATAATAATAATAAACTGGAAAAAACATTTTGAGTGGGGTAAACACAAATCAATTTTTATCACCTTTAACCATTTGTCAATATGTGAAAGAGACGAGGAGAAAAAAACTGCCATGTGTATATGCTTATTACTCTTGCCATGTGTGGTCTACTCGAGGTGACCAACACACCACACACATACCGATGACTGTCATGAAGAACTAAAACTGACCCGTGAGAGGCAGTATTGTGCCACAGGGTATCCGGACTCCCTGAAAATATCAGGAAGAAGTGTAGTCGTAGTCGTAGAAGATTTTAGCCAAAGCTGGTAACTACATGAGGTTCCAAACTCTTCTTGTCATTATTATTGTGGTGAATGACTTAGCAGGCACTTCATATAAGCACTTTCGAATTGTCTGTCATTCCATTTCACATCATAATCACACATTTAGTGGCTCGGCCAAACTGTTTTGCGATAACGAATATTGACCGGGTTTTACATTTGCAATTATCGATGACAACCTTTATCGGACCATCGGTGTTGGAATGTGTGTACACGGCTTGAACAGCATGCAAATAGAAAATAATGACGAGCTGCAATAATGGATTCAACAAAATAATTGTCAGTACAGAAGTCACACTGAACGTTAAAAACAGTCTGGTCTAATTTACGCAGCCCCGGTGAAAGACTAATCAGAAAGTCGAACACGTTTGTATCTGTAAATTCAACAGTGGTGTGTGCACACCCTGAAGAGACTGTGTGTGTGTGTGTGTGTGTGTGTGTGTGTGTGTGTGTGTGTATATTTTGCACATGTACGCATAAGTTTGTGTGTGTAATTGAATTGCTGCTCATGCTGTTCTCACACCACACAACAGACACGAGGGGGTTCCATGAGTTCTCCGACAAGCCGATGTTTACTTAAATGACGGAACATACTGAGCAAGTACGCGTGAGTGCATGCATACACACACAGGAGAGCGTAGCTAAGAAAAATAAAAGAGAAACAGGCAGCATACACCAGAGTGAGTTGCATACAGAAAACAATGGGAAGAAAAAAGTAAGAGCAGAACGAGAAAGAGGGGAAAATAAATGCAGTTGTATGCACATGTTTGTGCATTTGATGTAAAGCACCTTGCAATCAATGACGCAACACAAAGTGTGAATTTGAAATGAGATGATGACATCAAAATCCATCTACATAGAGAACAGCTGTATAATGCTACAATAAATGTGGTTTGAGTAAAAGAGAGTGCGTGGTCTTGTGCTTCAGACGGAATACAGTTGATGATAAGAAATGACGCATTTGCTGAGGAAGGCTACCTGAACTGAGCGAGCAGCAGGCCTCCCAGTGACGAGCCACAGATGGAGAAGCCCATGGCGATGACGCCGTTCCAGAAGCCGAGCTCCCTGGCGGTCATGTGGTGATCCAGCAGAAACAAGGGAAACATGGTGACTGCACCCTGCTCGCCTGTACACAAGGTCATTTGGGATGGGTTAGGGGGAGCTGTGGATGGACAAATGGGGGGGGGGGTTGACTTCAGTCACAGTTTAATATTAAATAAATACTGTACATCTTTAGTGTATCAGTGCCGTAGCTTTATACAGGATCATCTCTGTTTTTAAAAATATTAACATCATTTCTGAAATTTAGGGATGGGGGGCTGCCATTTACTACATGTGCAGATTTCCGTCATTTTTGCAGTTTACATGAAAAAACAGCAGTGAGGAAGGGATCAAAAAAGTGAAGCAGACGGTGGAGATCATTTTTTTTGTTTAATTGCAGGCCTCCTAATAAGCACGTTTCAACATTTCAATATGTTTGAGGCACAGTAAAGATGTAAAACACCTCCTGAAAGAAGACTCAGTCAGTTGCAATGAGAATGTGATTCCAAGTTGTCAAGCCTGAAAGACCGAACAAAACAAGAGATGATGACTGCCGCATCACCTACAGCAAACCGGCATGCGGTGCACCTCGGCCTATTCCTGGAAAGTGTCAATAATAGATGCCTGACAAGAAAAAGAATGCCCTCAGTCACTATCAAACAGAGGCCTAGCACTTTTTCTAATGCGCAAAAAGGAAAACACAACAAAAACACCACAACTTCCAAGGCGAGGCAGACATCACACAGACCTTTCAGTCAAAATAAAAAGTTTCTGTCAGGCAGTCACACTTCTGTGCGGTGTTGAGTGTGGGGGTAATGTTCTGCTGAACATTACAGTAAAATATTCAGTTGTGCCGACGACACGCCATTATTATATTAATGGAGACTGACTTCAGAAAGACAGTGGGACCAAGGAGCTGCGTGAGTGACAGATTGGCTCCCAGGTTGCTGTCAAAGACGCACAACACCACCAACGAGTCGCTCACTCAGTCAGCCACGAGACAAACAAAAATAGAGAAAGAGGAAGAGAGACAGATGAAACAGACTGCACGGGGAAAAAAAAAAATCTGAGACGCTCCCAACGATCGGGAGTGCAGGAGCAGAATGTATGTATGTCAATGCTTTAACAGTGGCGTGACAAACCAACAAAAAGAAACGTGGAGAAGGAAATGTGGATTTGTAGGGCTGCTAAGGTAACATGTGTCTTTCTTACACTTCTGTCACTTGTGTTTCCCTGCTGGCAGTTTACACAGTTGTCATAGCCGCTAGTCACTATATACAAATTTTAAAATATATTAATTGGCTAACAAAGAGATTTACTGTTCCTAGCTCTACAGTTGTGCACGTTCTGAGCGAGAAAAAAAAAATCAGGAGAGACATTATGAACCCTGTGGAGAGAGGGACAATTCTAAAAGTAATGGTCTGATTAACCACCAGGTCAATCCTTTGGGAACAAATATCATGTGCTGATTGTTATTCTAACGCTTTGGTTGAGTTAATTCAACGATATAATGACAAAAGTTGGTTTTCGTGATATTAAGCAAATATAAGAGCATGTGTTTTATTATTATTTTTTTTTTGAGTGGCTCAATTTTGCATCATTGACAGAGAGGGAAACGGAATTTCAGTCTGAACCCAAGTACCGTACTTGTGGCAAAATTCAAATGATACCTACTGTGAAAATAAATTATAAAGGTTTTAAGGGAATTAAAACTAAATTCTGCCAGCATAGATATGTCGTGTCGAAATACTGCAATTTCACACTGCTAAACTTCAGTGAATGCAGTTGTAAATAATACACATTATTAATGCCCTTGAAATCAGCTTACTCACACCACATGAACACAGAGAAGATGTGATCCTTAATGGGCTTGTTTCCCAGGCTTTGTCCACATTTCAGAAAAATGCAGGTATTTTCTCTGAAATCACCAATTCTTGGGAGTGTGAAATTGGGCACCGGATGCAAATGTGCTACAAAAGTTTACAAAAATTCTAATTCAGGAAGTTGTTTTTATCAACTCATCCTTCCAATATTGATTACTCTAAGTGGTAATTAGCAGCAGTAGCCATGATGCTGGGGTTGTTTACACATAGTCCTCTGCATGTTCTCCTGTTGTTGAGCTCAGTGCTCGGGGCTTCCACAGACCCGCATTGAACCAATTATTTCTTTAAAAAGATGGGAGCAAGGGGTGTGTGCCGACAAACACAACCGCGCTGATTATTCCATTCTATTAATATTCTCAAAGCAACAATTGTCCATTTCAGGAGGGATTTCATTAGATGTGCAACGATTAAACAGAGCAGAGGCGAAAGAAAAGGGGGAAAGGACAGAATCAATGAGGAGACTACAAAAATAGATGAAGACATAAACTAAGAGAAAGTCATTTACAATGAATGAAATGAAAGAGACAACGGGGACAAAAGATGAGTATAGGCGGGAGGCGACAAGAGAAGCTGATAGAAAGCAAGAAATGACATTCATGATGCTTTTTATTTGCTCAAAATGTGACTAAAATATGACTAGAGAGAAAGGAGAGCAATCAGAGATGGAGACAGTTCGAGACAGAGGAATAGCTAGGGGTGGGGTGGGGTGGGGGGGCACAACAACGCAGACATTGTTACGAGGTTAGTGAGGAGGAAGCAGAGGAGGATGTAAGGCTCAAAGCAACTGTACTGTTTGTGTTTACATTAGAGACAGATGCCACAAAAAAATACAGTGGGAGCGACAAAACAAATGTTATTAAGGGGGCAGGGGTGGCACAGAATACTGCAGCTCTAGTCAGATGGTTTGTCCAAGTGACATTTACCTCAACATTGAGACTGTTTTTTGTGTCTGCTCATTGGAGCTGAATCCGTTTGACACCCGTTGGCCACCATGTAACGGATGTATAACTCCACTCAATCACGCTGACAGGCATTTTAAATATACGATCCACAATGTTGCGGTCGGTGAGTGAATGCAGTTCTGGCACAAGGGACAGCCGACACGATGAGTTAATTGAGTGTTGAGATTTTTGATGAGTATTGTATTAGAACGCATTTAATGTTCAAGTGTTTTTTTTAATAATTGAAACGTGGGTATATATTTGGTTTTTAAAAAAATCATTGAAACATGGGTATATATTTGGGAACACGCAATGAATACTACAAATAACAAAAAACAGAAATAGTAACAATCGCTGGTTTTACCCCATAATGAATCATGGTTATTCTGTGAATTCTCTTTGCCGTTTTCTACGCTACACCTCATTTTAGGTCTGAAATTTAGTCTAATTTTTGTCCAAAATGTAGTTGTGCCTGTGATTTCACATGGGTGTAAAGTTGCCAAAATAGGGCCCTTCATGTCAACGCATCCTTCAACCCTGTAACAGTTGAAAATGGCATTTAACCAAGAAACATCCCTGCCCAGTGTACTTGCTCAACTAATAGACACGATTTTAGAGCATATTTCATTTTATTGACCCCCTGTATGCCCCCTGCAGATTATTTTGAGAGCACGAAGTCAATACTCATTTCATCACGCACCAAACCCGAAGAACAGTTTTATAACACATAAATGGTGCACACAGGAGGGGGGTGCGCTTGTTGTGCACTGATTAGTTCGATTGGTGTTGTCACAGACGAAATTATTATCCAAGAGCACGTATTCCATCACAAAGCCCGCCAACGTTACAGAATCACCTTTAAAGAGAACCCTCATTTTTCAGACACCATCATATGGTTGGGGGTATTAAAATCTTTTTATAAGTTTTAGTTTTTTAATATGAATATTGAATATTAAATGAGGGAAGCACTTTGACATAACATAACGGTTAATTTGTCTACTTCAGTTTAGAATCTCAGTTTGGGGCTTCCTCTGTGGCGCTTGCATGTTCTCTCTGTGCTTGTGCGCATTTTCTATGGGTACTCCAACATTTCAAGTACTTGCATCGGTATCATCCGATCTTACTCGGGGGGGTAATCGGGATCAGAATCAGCAGCGTCAAACCCTGAACAGAAGACCCCTAGAATGAATTCAATGTCAATGTCAATGATTGGTAGACACAGTAAGTAGTAGAACTGATGTATTTAGTTTGAGTCATGTCTTTTTGTTTTTAACTGTATTTATAACTTTGGCAGGCAAGACTAAGTTTTGGTATTCTGGCAGACCTGTGCGAGCTGGTGCAGCGTGGCACATTTCAAAAAGGGGTGTATTGCACTTAGTGTGAACACAGCTGACTTATTTCGCCGCCAATCAAAGTGGTTGTCATTCCTTTTATATGTTGCGCATGAGAAGCATGATGATAGTCCTCGATACGGTCGAAGAAGACATGATGTGCTTGAGTCCTGCGGCATATTAAGGCACGGAAAATACATTTGTAAGGAACTGCAAACAGACCTCCACGGGCGGACGGTATGATGTTGGCCGGTACAGATCTTGAATATGTGCAATAGGAGACCACCTTCCGACCGGATCAAATGTGTCTGTGTGTATCACGAAGGTGAAAGTGTATGCGTTTATTGTTATCAAAGGCATAGAAAAATGAAGTGATATGAATTGTTTCAACTAGTAGAACTGAGTAATATATCCCCAAAAAACACTTCAGTCAATATCAGATATTAAAGGATACTGCTAAAATGAAATATTAACAATATAAACTATAAAATTATACTATAAATTATAGTTACCTAAGCCCAAAACGCAGATACAAGATATTGCGTAAATACAGATGCAAGTGACAGCTTTGAATTTTTATTCCATCCATCCATTTTCCTATCCGCTTATCCTCACAAGGGTCGCGGGGGGTGCTGGAGCCTATCCCAGCCGTCTTCAGGGAGTAGGCAGGAGGACACCCTGAACCGGTTGCCAGCCAATCGCAGGGCAGACAGAGACGAACAATCATCCACGCTCACACTCACATGTAGGGACAATTTCGAGTGTTCAATCAGCCTGCCATGCATGTTTTTGGAATGTGGGAGAAAATCGGAGTATCTGGAGAAAAACCACGCAGGACTGGGGAGAATATGCAAACTCCACACAGGGAGGCCGAAGCTGGTATATTTTAATTGCAGGGGGAGAAAAAAAAACATGCAGCGACAGGCCTCGAAGAACAAGATACTGTTTGGGCCACACAAGCATTCATTGTACTTTTCTTGTGTCACTAAGATCAACCAATTTTTATTCTTCACAATATGGTCACGGAAGTAAGGATGACATGCACCAACAGTATGTTTCCACATTGCCAAATGTGTTTATTTCTATGCCCATAGTGTTCTTTCTGTCCCTCTCAGGGTACCATGTGGTGCTTGTTCATTAATTCATCCCTTCCATCAGTCTCCCATCCCTGCAAGTCCTTTTCCCCTCTGGAAAATATCCTCCTGTTGCCATAAGTTCCTCTCCTCCCCCACAACCGTACTCGACTAATGCATGTCTGTGGAAACAGTCCAGCCTGGACGGTAATACAGATTCGATGTCAATGCTGGGAAGATTTGCATTCTACATTCTGACGACGACGTGTAAGTGACGTTTTATTGGCGTGTGTTTTACTGTACAGTAATTGCGAACGATTTTAACTTTATTCACTTACGTCCTGTAGATCATGGCATCGAAACGAAGAAAAACTGTAATGACGAGAGGAGCGAGTGAACATCACATTAGTGATCATCAATGGGACAGTTACTTGCAACTAGCAACAAAACTGTATGATACACAAACAAACATTTCCATACACCAAAGAATGAATCCAACAAAACAACCCAAAATGGACTCATTTTTTTTCCCAAGACGGAAAAAAAAATCAACATTAAAATACTGTACATACTGTACTGTGTTGTGATTTTTTTTTTGATACTCTACACTTGTACTGTATACTGTACTGCAGTTTTTGTTCTATAAACAGTTTTTGGACAGTATATTTTTGCATTTTATTGCTTGTGTTGTTACACGTGCATTTTGTCAACATACTTGCAGGTTCATACAGGACATGTACCGTAGTCATTTCCCACATCAGGAAATTCTGTTATACGGACAGATTGGACACCGCAAATATGCTTCCTTACTAGAGAGTATTTACTGCACTACATTCTGAATTTACCTTTTTTTTGGGGGCTGGGGGGAGGAGCATTTTCTCTGATGCTTCTCCACATTAGTGTCACAACGTGAGAGCTTGAGCCCACCTCAGTTGGCTTTGAGCGAGGGGCAGTATACACAATGAATGGGTCACATTCACCTTTTAAGAGTCTTCAGTTAACCCATCATACATGGTTTGGGGTTGAGAGAGGAAGCCAGGAGAATAAACGTAAAATTGCGAATTTAGTGCAATATCAGAAATCGTAACATTTGTGGATGATAAAACTGCAAGGTGCATTTTCACGTTTTTAATTGATAAGCGATACATTGGAGAAAGATGATTATCAAGGGCCCATCATATCATTCGTATGTTCAGACAATGGTGAGCTTTCAATGAACATGAGCATACAAACTGTCATGAATGCATGTTGAGCAGCAGGTTCACTCATTGCGCTGTAGTTTTTGTAAACGTCACCCTCTGGAATTAGTTTGCGTTTGTACCAGCTATAAACCTTTCTTTTTCGGATATTCTTTGCTTTTGCTAAATCAGTCGACTTGACAACTCCTGGACAACTCAGAGAGACTGATTTGCTAACCACTGATGTTGAAAAAGTAATGAACCTTAAGCAAGCACATAGGCTTTGCAACAACATTCACATAGGGTTTTGTAGGATACATTTTGGCACATTTGGCTAAACCAAGCATTAAACTGTCAAGTAAAAAAAAACAAAAACGTTAAATCAAACACCCCAGGATGTGATGTGACTATAGTTCACATTCGAGGTTGTCAGATCACAAAAAGATCATCTTATATATGCTTTTTGTGTTTTCCTGGTTGTTTCGTGCCCTCTTCTTTGCACTGTCCCTCTGCATCTCTGTAAGGTCACACACTAATGCCAACATGAGCACATCATGGCTATAGTTATTGGTGACTTAGAGGTTCCACTTCAGAGGAGAGCAGCATTCAATGCAATCAAACTCAAGAGTTCATTAGGCAGAGATGAAAAAGGGCTATCGTCTCGTATTTGTGTCTCAACAAAGACGATTGGAAGTGTGAGGGGGGTGGGTCCGGACTGGGAGATCACCCTTCTCACACAAACATACGCCCACACGTTTCAACAAAAACAAAACAGTCTCCGACTGGAAATTACATCAGAACACTGAGGCTTAAACCATTACAAAGTGTTGCTTTTACATGCTGAGGTGAGATTTTTTGGGGTTCAGTTACAGGAAATGCAAACAAGTGATATGGATGTCAATAAATCAGCAATGCAAAGTAGTAATGATGAAAACACCTAAATTAGAAGCGGCTGATTTCACCCTTGGCCTCATGAGACAGAGAGAGTGCTGTGGGGTGGGGGGTTGCTCCCTAGACAGATTAGGGGCTCCAGCCAGCCTTCATATTCTGTCTAGTAGTGTCGTCTGTTGGGGCTCATCCGATTATGGAACACTCTCTCAAAAACACACATATGACTTCAAAACAAAAGGCCTATGCATTTTCACATATGTATAAGTGAATGTTATGCAAATGGGCACACACAATTGCATTTCCACCACCCACATGGAAACACACATCAGAATGAAGCGCTCTTCCCTTTCAGTTTACCAACGCCGTAAAACAAAGACGCTGTAATCCTCCCATAATCCCCCTCTGCTTCCAAACTTGTACTCTTTCACCCACACACACACTCACTGAAATGATCATAAACTACTTTTTCTTTTTTTATTTTTGTTCCCCGAGAACTATGTTGTTGGTAAAAACCCGCAAGTACTTACACATTACTCAATGCATTATTGGATTACCTTGAGAAAACAGTCTCCTGGTTTAAACATATAATCTCAAAGCAAACTCTTGACCACTGTGGCGCGTTCTTGTCAACCAATATTCAAGAAATGTCTGCTGTGATTCACCTAGTCACGTTAAATAGACAATTCCACAGCGACATCTAGTGGTGGATTTAAAAACTACATACCGACGGAAGCCATAAAAAAGTACACTATGGGACAAATAGACCACTGTACTTCTCAGTTTAGCACACTTTTTCGTTGTGGAATTAAAAAAACATTTAGCTAATAAATTGGATTTTGTTGTCATTTTCTATGATCTTTTGGTAGACGCACACAAATTTCTACACTGATACTGCCAAAGATGTACTTGTCCATGTAAACATAATCGGAGTACAGAGCAGTTTCTAACATTTAGCATTTCATGGTACAGTTGGAAACACCTCTCAGGATGATGGATTGTATGTTTAGATTCAAATTCAAAAACTACAGACAGCAAGGAAAGGCTTGAACACGGCCGCTATAGTACAGCGAATGGATGGATGGATCAACATAGTGTCACATGTATGGCAAGGTGACAGGTCAATCAAATTTGAGCACGATGAGGATGGATTTTGTTTGATTGTGCACCCATACTTATTTGGCTTTTGAGTGTGTCACCACAAAATAATATTCACCTACATGTGTCAAACTTATTTTTAGTACAGGCCACAGTTTAGTTCTTGGTTTCCCTCAGAGGGCCTTTATGACTATGAAACCATACACTGTAAATATAAACATTTTCTCATGATTTCATTATAGACACACAACAGATGTATAAATAACTAGTTTTGAAATCAGAATTCCAAAAAACAGCCTATTGTTCAATTTACTTTAAAAGGGGGGTTGGGAACAAAATAAATGATTGTAATAGTCCAATGTTCGTTATTTAGAAGTGAAGGAAGTATGTGATTTTAGTACAGATTTTAAGAAGAAGCAAGACGCACAATGATTTGTTTAGCAGGTCACATAAGATGTGGTGGACCATAGCTGAACCCTGAGCCTTGACTTTGACACCTATGAGCTACAGTACAAGTGAAAATGTGCTTGTTTATACATCAGACTCACCCAGTTTGTATGTGAGAACGTAGAGGACGGTCCAAGCCGTGCCAGGGACAGCCAGCAGCTTCCTCCACACCCTCCATGGCATCAAAGCATCAGCTCCATGTCCTGCTCTTCTACTACAATCAGCCTGTTGGCCTCTCATAAGCTCCTCATCCAAAACAGTAGCCCCCCACACAAACAGGGCCACACCTGCATACACGAATGTAAGCAGCATAAACATCCAGCTCCACCCGGCCACGTCAATCACAGCCAGCAGACCGCCTCCAGCGAACACCGATCCGGCTTTATAGCCCACAACCTGGGCTGTGTTACCAAGCCCAAGCTCCCCACGACCTTTCAAAAGCCCCACTGCAGCTCCATCCACTGCAATATCTTGAACAGAGGCCAGAGTATTCATGGCTAGCAGGGTTCCTGCTACTCCCCAGATGTGCATCTCTGGAGCGAGAGCTGAACTGGCGAGACATGTCAGTGCCAGTCCAGAGACTGTTGCCACCAGCCAACGCCGCTTGGTGCCAATCCTGTCCACCAAAGGGGCCCAAAGCACCTTGAGAACCCATGGGAAATAAAGGACCTTGGTGAAGCCTATGCGTGTCAAGGAGTGGCCGGCTCCACGCAGGTAGACTGGAAGCAGAGAAGACTGGAGACCATATGGGATGCCCTGGACAAAGTACAGCAGGCCCAAGAAGACTAGTTTGTCATTCATGATCTTGCTCCAAACGTGCAGTGGTCCATTGGTCAGGTTGTTGTCATCGTTTAGGCTCCGTCGGGGCAGGAGGAAAGGCCGACTCAAATGACCTGGAATGGTAAAAGTCGTATGACATTCATGGTTAATGACGCTAACATTTTCATTAAACCATGCTGCAGTCCTGACAATAGTCGGACACCGAAATCAATCTTTCTTTAGTGTACCAGCCCTAGTCATCAGAACTATCGCTAACGTTAGCCACACAATCCATGCATGCATAGCAGTGCGTGAAATATTGATTTCATGTTATATTGTTTCATTCAAAGAACGTTTTCTGCATCTTAACATTTGTCTTCGTTTTAATTGCGTACTAACGCGTTAGAACCTTCTGTGACATTTTCTCAGTTGCATTTAGCTAGCATTCTGGCATGCTCCGCCAGCCAAGCGAATGGATTTAAAATACACACATCACCTTTGTGAACTCTTCTGGACGTTTTTGTTGGTTAGCTTGTTACGTATCTGAGAGCAGATCAATCTTAGCACATAGTGGCAACATACATAAAAGTTGGTTAGGCTAGCCAGCGCTAGCTCACGGTTTCGGTCTCTCTCTCTCTCTCTCTCTCTCTCTCTCTCTCTCTCTCTCTCTCTCTCTCCCCCTCCTTGTAATGTTTACATTGGCGCGAGACGAGGTTGCCAGGTAAGGAAGTAAAAGTCCCTCAACTTCTGATACCAAAAGATGGTATAAGTGTATCAAACCTGGCAACCATGATACTTATCAAAAGGTATATAAAAATATTCTAATATATTATTAAAACTTGCTTCCCCAGGCTTACAGCTCGAATTTAGTCCCTACCAGAGAAATAAATGTGATATCTTAATTCTTTAAAAATAACATTTAGAAACTTGCTTTTACATGATGTCATCTTTCCCTTTAGTTAATTTATTTTTCATTAATATAACGATTTTGTTTTCAAATATTTCATTTTCTTGTGGCTTAAAATGTGTACATATTTATTAAATGTATCCCGCTATATTTATCCTCCTTGATCAGGTCTCTGGTCTCGTTTTTGTCTGGTGGGTTTCAGCATTTCACGTGTTTTCCTTTTTTTGTTTGTTTGCGTCCGCCCACCCCACGTCCAGATATACTCTAAGAGCATGAGACACTGATTGTATTTTATGTACACTATTCTGTCAGTCAAATCACTTTGTAAACAAGCCTTTCAAGGTGCCATGTAAACACAATTTACATTTTTTAAAATGTATAATTTGTGTTGATATAGTCCTTCATTATACATGGTTGATTTGTGTCTGAAAATGTGTTGTATCTCCTCCAGATTCATAAACCAAAGTTGTGACGTTTGAAAGAAAGGCGGGTCACACAGAAAAAAAAATGCTTTTATTTGTAGAAGCTCCTTCAATTGCACAGGTATACAGTAAAATTGTCACATGGGGAGGATTATTTTGGTTGCAGTGTTGCAATAACTAACTCTCCTTTCAAGCACCTATGTTAAACCAGTCTACCTGTCCAGACAACATGTCTTTTGGCTGACTCAAATCCATGGTAAGATAAGAGCATTTTGGGTCTAGAATTGATTTCTTAAAAAGGATCAGATTGTATCTGCTGAGGCAATGCTGATTTGGAATAAGTCTTTTCTCATTGGTGTTTTTTTTTTAAATGTCATGACAGCAGGTTATTTTACAGAGCTGAACTTTGAGTCGAGCCTTCAGTTAAATTGGCCTCGTCAGCTCTTTGAGAGCTCGTAGTCAGGAGATGAGAAATCAGTTCTCGCTACCGCAGAGAGCCAGCAGAATCTTCTCATAGTCTCCTTTAGTATCATCCTGGAAAAAGAAACCAGTGTTTGATTATTGGAACTCTTGTACTGTCCTGAGCAATATAGAAACTAAGTGTAAATGGTGACATGTAGAACTGTCTGTTTCTCACCAAAATGTCCTGGTAGAGTGTTTTGCCGTATTTCTTCTTGTACTCAGCCTTGATTAATTTCAAATCTTTTTCAGCACGGCTCACCATGATACGGGTAAGGATGTTTTTGCGGGTTCCGGATCCCTGAAAGAGAACAGTCAGAGTGAAGACTCTGAGAAGATGGTGCAGATTCCTAAATGTGGTAGCATTCTGTGCATACAACACCTTCATGGACAAGTAGAGCTTCTCAGCAAAGAAAGCAGGCCTGCTCCCAGCACACTTGACTAGAATGATTCAAATGAACCAGATATACTTTACATTTATGACCAATGTATATTCATGGTAATGATGCTTAAGCATACAGTTGTGCCCTCACCTAATGCTGTGAGACAATTCTCAATATCACCCTTCATCTCCAGGTCAATTGCTTTAGCCACATCCACTTTGCTGTACTTTGAGTACCTCTGAAACACTGAAAAATAAGAGAGAGGATTCATGTAAGACCCGCTCTAAGAGAACAGACACTACAGAGGAAGGCAGCGAGCAAGCTGACCTTCACGGAGATGAGGGGCGCTCCTGACAGTAAGGATTTCAATGAAAACGGAGCAGTCTTTGCCTTTCCTCCCCTCTCCAGCTTCATACAGAGACCTGGCATCACTGTCAATCAGCTGTTCACACACTCCCTCCGTGCGGTTGGCCTGTGAGAGAAATATACTGTATATACTTTCCACCAATATATACAACAACATAGTTTAAATTCATCATCATGAATGTTGTGTAAATATTTGCATGTGAGGGATTTATTTTAAGATCCCCTGGCGTTGTGGCAGCTACAGTGGGGGAGTGGTATGTTGCCTTAACCTAAGACTATTCTGTAGCTGTGAAAGAAAGGGTGAACAAAATCCGCCTCAAACATCCTGTAACATAATAAAGAGTGAGTGCACATGCTGTACCTTGCAGAGTGAAAAGAGTGCATTTCTGAAGTCTCCGCTGGTGTCAGATCTGATGTCTTCCTCCAGGTCCTTTTTGTAATCTTAACAGTCATAACACAAACATTTCAAACTTATTTAGTGTACGTCTTGTGTTTCTACCTTTCACCATATATTACAGTGCAACATCTTGAGTTTCTGAGTTTTAACAATGAGATCATGACCATATTGTATACAACTAAAATGTCACCAGAGCAACAGCAAAGTGAAAAAGAAAATTTGTAAACTGTAATTTGTGTTTGCTTGTCCTTCCTACTTTCTAAAGCGGGCATGTACTTGAGGGCCGCTGTCAAATGGTCAACTCATCAGCAAGCTCCGAAGAACCCTGATTACCATCCTGCAGTACATCTTACTCTAATTGAGGCAAATTAGATCTGAAAAATACTACATTTGGACCCAGTCTAAATTGTAATACAGTCAAACCTCGGTTTTCGAACGTCTCTGTTCTCGACCAAATCGGTTTTCGACCAAAAATTGAGTTTTTTATGCCTCGGATGACGGACAAATTTCGGTTCTCGAACAAACTGAGCCCACTTGAATGCACCACTTGACTCCTCTTGCCTTCCTTACACTAGGGAATTACGTCATTTGCTCGTGTCGCTTTCCATTGTGAGCAGACATGTTCAATAAACTTTTTTTTTTTTTTTTTTTTTTAAAGAGCGTGGTTTCGGGTTTCGAACAATTTCGGTTTTCGAACAGCCTGCTGGAACGGATTATGGACGAAAACCGAGGTTTGACTGGATGTACAATTGAAAGACAAACATATTTTGAGTAAATGTTACTCAGAGTAGTGGATCAATTGTACTGCAAATGGTCAAAATCAAATTTTATTTGATGACAACATAAATTACTCACTGGTGAGAGCCTCATGTACCCCGAGTGAATAGATTTTGATGCTTTCTGAATATTTACTCTGGTGACCGGGGTAGGCAATTGTGCCCTAAAATGTTTAGATGCAACTCATTCAGAGAGTATAAAGAATAGTGACTCTGTAAAAACGATTCAGCCTATTTCACTGTGTATACCTACATCCAAATAATAATCCTTGGCCCATGCACGTCCTCTCAAAAAAAGTTTGATGGAAATCAATTTTGGAGTTTCTGCACGGTCCTGCTAATTGTATGTGTCCGACTATTTACATTCATGGTTTAGTAGGAATGTCAAAAAGCTAATTTCTGTGAAACCACAAACTTGTGGAAGCCTAATAATTTTGCACAGAACATTCTGAAGGAAATTTAAGATTTCTGCTTGACAATTGGCTGCACACACCTTCCTTGTAGGCCTTCTTTATATCCAGAATCTCTGTATTGGTTCGAGAGGCCAAAATCTCAACAAGGGTGTCCTCATCTGTTCCCAGACCCTAAAACAGGGAATCAAATTCAAAAGGGTTAATTCAGTACTATTCCATGAGCAGCCGTTCACAACTCCTTTTATTAGTCCAATGGGAAAAGCTAACAAGAATACACGGAAGTGGGCGGAGAGCTTCAACAAATGACTTGAGCTATGGAATTAAATCAGTGTTGACCTCCAAAGTGCAAAAACAGCAGTTTCCTCTTTGCTGATGAGCATGAGAGAAAGGGAAGTGTGTGGGGCAATGAGTGCACATGTGCACATTGGGAATTTCTCCATTGTGAGACAAATAAAGGTTTTGTTATCTTACCTTCATGGCTAGTTTCAGCTGCTGGGCATCATACTGGGCCGGTGTTTTCAGCAGAGCCATGACCACATCCTCCAAATCTCCCTTCAACGCCTTCTTCAGTGCTGCCTCCAGAGGCTTCAAGGGACCAGTACAACCGGAAAATATTGAGAGTGGCTCTGTGTGTACTTTACATGAGCAGAGAGGGTGAGTAACACGCTAAAGTTACTGAAGTAACTTCATGGATAGGAGTGGTGAAAATGCACCATGTTTATTACTTTTACTGAAATATTTTTGTAGCTGCAGAAACTCTACTTTTAAATCATTAAAGTGAGCTACATCCCGCTTGTTACTTTTGTTAATATCTATTATTGCTTGCGCAATCTATTGTTTTCTTCAGTTTGTCAGTTAGACTTCTGCCTCAGGCGCCGTCACATGACTCTCTTTAGCCCATTCAACATAACCACTAATGACGCTCAACTCCATTTTACCAATCAAATTGCGCCAGGCAGCCACATGACTGCACACAGTATTTGCGGCCAAACACAGAAGGAAGACTTCAAAGTGACTCGTTCATGTGAAGCGTTGCAGAGACGAGGGAAAGAACAACGGTATGAGACTCACACTCAGAGGAGGCACGCCCTCTCTGGCCTTACATGCAATTTAGGTGTACCTTCCACATTAAGAAAAAGAACAGCTATTGTATGTCATGCGTTGTCAGCTGTATCTGCCTAAAAATGTTTGTTTCTTGAGTATTATTCTAAAGTACTCCTGCTTGAGTACAACTTTTGGCTACTCTACAACTCCATGAGTTGTTGTCACCCTTTCCTACCTTCCCGCTGGATTGTTGGTAAGCTTCTTTAATCTGCTGCCTCTGCTCATTGCTCCTCTTCACCAGTATTTCAATGATGGTATTCTCATCCACGCCTGCACAAAATACATAATGTGAAATACAGCCATGATTTAGACTACAATGCAATGCATCTGAGTGGAATCCAGATTGTATCACATCCATTTAAACTGTTGACCAAAAGGTCACTGATATGTGGAATGAGGTCATTTCTCTAGCTTTTGTGTGGTCATGACCAAGAATTTTTCTTGGTCATGACACTTGTGAATGCCTACCAGCAGGTGGTGCAGTGTTATAGAGACAAAAAACAGCCCCATTTTTTTCTGAGATGTCACAATTCTATGACGGGAGAAGTTGGCACAAGCCATCCACAGAGCCCCTCTGACTTTAGAGATCACCTTTTGCCTTGATGGCCTGGTCCAAGACAGCTGCGTCGCCACTGGCACTGAAGTTTGGTGCTGCCTTCACTGTCCCCTCGTTCTTTAATACCTGAGATCCAACACAGATTAGTGTTTACTGGTAGTGTTTGGTAAATACCTGTACTTGACTATCATCCAGTGGTGTGCATGTGGTCACATTTTCTCTATTGTGTCAACTTGTCTGCTTTTACTTTAATTCATTCAATAACAATGAAAAATACAGTAGCAGATGTTATGCTCACTCCACAGTGTGTTGTGTGAATCCCGAGCACTTCAGCTTCATGCTAATAAAGGCCACAAATAAGCCTTTTAACATAGTGAACTAGTTAGCTAGTGAACAACCTTGTACAGAACAAGAGCATAACGCAAGACAATGATGCCGAATAACCTTGTGCAACCCTCAAGCAGGGGAATGGTGAGCAGCATTTTACTGTTTCAAGACTTTAGATTGGGAGGGGCTCAAATTCCTGTTCCGCTGAGTCACACACTCACAAGACAGATATACTTCCATATTGGTCTTTTTACTGAGTTTTGAGGAGTGAAAAGAATGTCCATCCGCCATCGTCCCTTTTGTCTTATGAAATAGTGCAGACTGCGTCATTTCTCTGCCCCACCCCTCTCTTCTGTAGCTAAACTTTAAAACATGAACACTCATTCATTCTATTCCCCGCTATCTTTTTATGTTCCCTCCTTTTTCCTTTTCTCTGAACTCTGCCAGGAAAACTTTCCACCCGAGCATACCACAGGAAGAGAAAAAAAAGGGAACAAACATAGTGGTTGGCCTTAGCAACTGGAAGAGAACCGCAGTGACTTACTGACTCATCGGGCATGCCCAGATAGACTGTCTGCATCATGAACTCTTTGATGAAAGACATGGTGGGGCTGGCTGCAGGACACTATCAGATAAGGACACAGAAGAGCGTAAATATATTTGGGAAACAAAAAGGAAAACAACAGTCAGGAAATTACATTAAGAGGCAATATTGCAATTACAATTAAACTGCCTTCCTATGTATGCGAGCATTAACAATGATCATTTACATCTGGTGCATAGTGGTTTTCCATGATGGTAATTACAGTATGTGGAGGCTGCCCGGCCACACCCACGTTTACACTGACGCGGATGTATGTCGTGGGCTGCGTGTATGTGTCAGGCACGTCGTGCATTTATATATGGACATTCGTCTTCGTAATCACGACCACTTACTGTTGATTATGTATGTGTAGCGGTATATATATGCGTTTCCGGCCACACCCACGCCAATGATACTTAGAAGCGAGGGTAGAAGGAGTTTAATCCAGTACAGCAAAGCAAAGAGCTTTCGTGCATTTAAATGTCGCAGGGAGAAGCAAGACAACATTCTTGAGATTGTTTACTTAAGCAACAAGACTTACCGTGTGGCTGTAGAGTCGTTTATGTGGGTGTGAGCTTTGCAGGGGCGGTTGACAAGCAGAGGGAGTTCATTTATACTCGCGAGAAACTCCACCTAGAACCGAGCTCGGCCCATACTCACCCCCACCCTTCCTTGGGACTTTTAACCCCGCCTTGCCTCCCATCCTGAGCTTCGGTGTACGTGGAAAAAAGGGGAAGACGTCATTTGGTGGAATACAAACAGTAAAAAAATAGTAAGTCAAGAAATAGATAAACAAATATATAAATACAATAAAGGCACACTCAAATGAAATGGTAGCGAAGTCTTTTTTTCTTTTTAATGGTAGCCAAGTTGTTGCTCATCCTTATACTGTTTATACGTTTATTCACTGCACTCGTTCTATTCAGGTACTAATAATACAACAAAATAAATGTGCTTTATTTTCCTTCTAAAAACTCAAGTGGCGTAGTATGAAAAATCATTTGAATATTAGCCGACATCCTTCATGCATGTCATTCTAGCTGTGTGTAGCGCTGATACACTCTTTATCCTCACAGACTTCAGGGCACTAGTAGAAACTGTCTTGCTAGAACATTAGTTGTGCCATTAGCGGCCCGGTGGTCCAGTGGTTAGCGCGTTGACCTCACAGTGCAGAGGTCTTGGGTTCAATCCCTCCCTGTGTGGAGTTGCATGTTCTCCCTGGGCCTGCGTGGGTTTTCTCCGGGTACTCCGGTTTCCCCCCACATTCCAAAAACATCCAGGGCAGGCTGATTGAACATAGGTGTGAGTGTGAGTGTGGATCGTTGTTCGTCTCTGTGTGCCCTGCGATTGGCTGGCAACTGGTTCAGGGTGTCCCCCTGCCTGAAGACGGCTGGGATAGGCTCCAGCACCCCCCGCGACCCTTGTGAGGATAAAGCGGATCGGAAAATCAATCAATGAATGAATAGTTGTGCCATTTTTTGTTCTATTAATGCCACTAATATTGGGAAACTACTGTGCTGCACCAGGCCAACTACTACTAGGCTCAACTAGTTGGCATGTGTGATGGGCTAAGTGCCTCAAAGACCCTGCGCGTAGCACTAAAATGGCCACTTTAAATTGTCCTTAGGTGTTATTGTGAGTGTGTATGGTTGTTTGTCAATGTGTGCCCTGCGATTGGCTGGCAACCAGTTCACGGTGTGCCTAACTTACCACCCGAAGTCAGCTGGGAAAGGCTCCAGCACAGCCGCCACCCTCGTGAGGATAAAGCGGTTCAGATAACGGATGGATATTTAAGCAATTGATATAGTTTTACAATTAAAAATCATGAGTATGTTTACCTCAATGTTAAGGAGTATTTCAGTTGTGGGATTTAATCAAAGTGAGGTAAACTTTACTCAATTTCTGTATGTATTTCATAGCGTTTCAAATTAAGGTATACTAATTGCCCAAAATGTATTATTCAAATTTACCCAGTTAAAGTGGCTGCAAATTGTTACCCTACATTTATTGTATATATTATGGCGGTCTTTAATGGTTCCCTTTTCATTTAACTAAACACACTGAATCCATAAAAGTATCAATCAAAACACACAAAAAAGTGTGATTTGTTATGTTTTTGTTTATGTTACATTTGGTTTTGTTCCCTCTTGTCCTTTTGGTCTTCTCCTGTTCTCGTCATGCGGGTGCCTTTTGTTTTCCAGTCAGCTCCCTCAACCCTTGTTCAGGTGTTTCTTGTTGTCTCGTCTCTTTGCTTGTATTTAGTTCCCTGGGTTCTGACAGTCTTTGTTGGATCATTGTGTGTCTGTGAGCTCCTGTGATGTTTCTGCTCCTGTCATAGGTTTTTGTTTGTTTGTTACTCTGGGTCCTTGTGGTTTTCAGGATTTTGTTTTGTGTTTTTCATTTACCGGTAGATTTTGCAGTGTACTCTTGCAAGTGTTTTTGTTAATACATTTTGTTCAGCCCACCCTGCTCCTCCTGCCTCCTTGCTTTTTGGGTCCCCTAAATTCACGCAACAACATAACACTATTGTCTTTTAAAAAAACCCACTTTTTCATGCATCGTAGAATTGTATCTTACTATGTTATATACTCAAGCTCATGAACTGTATTGTGTTTCTCGTAAATACATATTGTAAACATTATTGCTTAGGTTATGTTGAGTCAGTCTTTTTTTTCATATAAATACCATACTATTTCTGCAATTATGGGTTCTGTAAAACAAAACATTAGATAATTTGATATACCCCAGCTGTGTACTGATAGTATATCCAGCAATATCAGCACAAAGTCCCACAAACGTTGGCATGTAGTAATGAATTTTCTCCAGGTGCGGCACGTTGTCATCGCAAGCCATCCAGGAGTTGATGCTCCCCTGAGGCATGATGTCGCAACAAACTAGATTAACTCATCATTGCTGACTGTGATAAACACATTCTGGTGACTGTGTCCTTCCAGCATCATCATGTTGACTGACAACATCACACACCTTTATATGCAAAGGAAAAGAAATCATTGGGTAATTTCCCAACTACCCGTAATAAAAATGATCTTTCTTGACAAATCACCCACTCTTAGCAAAGGATAATCGGAGCTTTACTGGATTGCGAAAAAAAAAAAAGTTGTATCTTTCTTAAAACACCTAAGACCCATGTGTAGACATGATGTCAAAAACTGATCTAATCAGGAACATTCATACTTAACTGGATTTAAATTTCAACTGAAATTAATGTTTTACTGTGTAGTATTAGTATTATTTATGACAACAGTGCTTGAGATGGCATTGCTACCTTACTAACGGGTAACCTGAGGACTATTCTGGGCGTCCTTTTACCAGCACACTTTGTGTGGTTTAGGCTACTACAGAATGAAACTTCATCTGTGGAGGTTTAATATTTAAAGACAGTTGAAGAGTTTGGTTCCCCGCTCATGGAACCGGATCAAATCTTGCTTGTTCTCATGGTCAGGACACAGGTTCCCAAAATGAAGCACAGAAAAGAACTTCTCGGATCTGGTTGGCGAACAGGTAATCATTTAATTTTGAAACTGCATGGTGATTCAGATTCATTCATAAGTGTTTTTGAGGAGATTTATTTACAAACATAATGGCATGCTGAGTCGCCTTCCAGATTTGAGTTAAGCTTCCACAGGACTGGCAATGGAGGTTTTTGTCTAGCACACCGATAGCAGTGATAGCAGAAATGTGCTTTCAATTACTAAGAAAGGAAGAGAAATATTACACTGATCTTGCTTTGTATTGTATTGACATTTTGATTCAGAATTAATGTTGATTAACGATTAACATTTTATGAATAATTTGGCAGAGGACTGTTCGCTTTTGAGTGATGTTGATGGCTATCATTGTGGCATTACAAGTACATTCAGCCTACAGTACAACAAATCTAACAATGAAAACTGGAGATGTATAATCAAACAGTACAAAAATTATTGTATGTATATTTTATTCAGACTCAGTTGCTTGAGTTACTGTACATTTGCTTTCAAAATATATGCAAACTCTTCTGGAGCTGATCCTGGTTCCTTCACATTAACCTTTCTGGGAAAGAAAGTAGGGCGACATCACTCTGTGGCCCCTGCAGGCAAGAAATGTGAGTATAAAACTACCAACAAACCAGAAGCATGTGAGCACAAACATAATATATCGTTGTATGATGGAAATTCACTTCTACACCATAATAAAATCCTCAGAATTTTCGGAAGCTTCTCTGAAGTTTTGGGACACTCCTTTTTTGTAAAATAATAATATCTTTCAATGCATAAATGAACCTAAACAAAAGCGTTTGAAGCAAACAACCAAATAACCATATACTGTATTTTTTTTTCCCGATACAAAGGGCTCTCTTGCACAAAAATTACAATTCAAGGATGGCACAAGACTTGAACAAAAAACAGATTTGCAGATTTTTTTCACAAAAATCATCTCACCTAAAATGTTAATATTAATGAGGCTCTATGTTTTTCCCACATATCATTCAAAATCGGCAAAAAATATATATTTGATGTTCTTCTACTTTCTTCCTTTCATAACTTTGCTGCTGTAAATTGGGAATTTCTTCATTGTGAGATGAATAAAGGTTTTCTTATTCATATTATTCTTATTCTCACTCTGTAGTGCGGCCCGGTGGTCCAGTTGTAAGTGCGTTGACCTCACAATGCAGAGGTCGTGGGTTCGCTCCCAGCTCCGGCCTTCCTGTGTCGGGTTTGCATGTTCTCCCCATGCCTGCGTGGGTTTTCTCCTCCCACATTCCAAAAACATGCATGGCAGCCTGATTGAACACTCTAAATTGTCCCTAGGTGTGAGTGTGAGCGCGGATGGTTGTTCGTCTGTGTGTGCCCTGCGATTGGCTGGCAACCAATTCAGGGTGTACCCTGTGTACTGCCTATCCCCGATTTAAATTAACATACCATATTTAACATATAGTAGATTTAACATACCGAGTGAAATGTGTAATAAATGCAAAAACAGTATGTGGTTTCAGTTTACGGGTGAGGCAAGGTGTGTTTTCACATGAACGCTGTTCCCGTTAGACCTTATAATTCAATGAAAGACTATCAGGATACATTGTTACTCTCCAACCTCCATTCAAACCACCATCATTACTTTTTCTGTCTGTGTTTTCTGCTCATCTGAATCAACATCAATCAAATTCGCATCATATATTCTAAGGTGCCTGGGAGGGAAACAACCCATCCACCTGCCCAGAAGATCCTACAGTGTCTCCGAACCCTGGAATGGTCCCAGTGGCGACACACGACCTGGATCTACCAGGAAGCGTTGCACCATTTATGGATGAGTGCTCATGTCAAGAAGCCGGAGTGGGCACAACACAGCAGGTCAGATATGCAAACTGATCATCATCACTTTAAATTAAGTCATAAACCCAAAAAGAATTAAAGATGAATGAAAACGACACGCTTTTTGAATCTCTGGATCTCCTTTGAAAGGTGTTTCTGGAAAGAAAGTAACACCATGACGACACACCCACATTCCTGATTGATGAAACAGTGAGGATGGGGAAGAAAGGAAAGATCACAATGATGAAATAGACACAATTTAATGACAATAATCACTATATTAGATCAGCCAAAATTATGGATTACTTTCAAAAGATACATATAAACAGATCAATTTGTTGTATTGGATGTGTCCCCCTATTCAATTTGCAGCAAAAGTGACCTTTAATAATGAGGATGTACTGTATTTACAAGTTAATTTTAAGTTAACGCCCAATAAATGTACTGAAGAAGTAATCACACATCATAGCGCTTTAAAACTGATTTTGATGTAAAACAACTGAAATACAATTTTAGCCATTGTATTATGTCTATTTTTTCCAATGGTTGTCATGTTTAAAATATTGCCATACATGAGAGGCAATAAAGAGACACGGACAACTCAATTCAACGCTAACTTTCAGTTGAAACTGGAGTTTTCACATACAGTATATTCTCTTCAATTACCATTATGGACAACTATTCACTTGCCTAACTTTTGTTCAGACAGTGTAGCTTCAGCTCCCAATCAGCGATGGTGTGAATGTGCGGATGTGTGAATGGTTGTCTGTCTCTCTATGTGCCATTTGTATACAGTAACTGAAGACCGATCCAGGACATAGACTGACTTCCTTTGGCGCAAAATCAGCTGGGATAGGTTCCAGCTCCCAGCAACCTTGAACTTACAGACACTGGATGACTACACCCAAACAAGAAACAACTCCCATAAAATGAAAGCAGTTGCAACATTGGAATGACTTATCTGTATGTTGGGTAATTTCGCAGATTGACAAATAACTGAGAGAATATGTGCAATGTAGTTTTGTCGTCTGGTCAACTGTATGTATTTTTTCTTTTTGTGTCACTCATGAGTGATTTAGATTATGCTGAATCAAACAATAGCACCAACATATCACTTCCAGCAATAAAAAACTGGCGTGTTGAATTTACTCAATTTTATTTTGTCAAGTGGTGGCACACAATGAATCACTTAAAAAATATTTACAATATCTGGATACAAACGATTTCTTGCAACCACATGAAAAAATAGAATTGATTACCGGTAAATTCAACATAACTTTTTTTTTCCGAGTGCACTGTCAGAAGCACTGACCTGCATTTACAACTGAAATTCAGAAGTTTCGTGAACCTGAATGCATTTATTCTTAGCAGTTTGTTCTTTTCATTTTAGAGTACTTCACTTAGCTGCACTGTTTTCACTATTTTTATGTGGATGTTACAGTTTTTTGTCCAATCAGATTTTAGTCTTTACGTGTTGCCATGTCACTCGAACCTGCTTTCACAATCAGTGGTGGTGGCCGTTGTAACTAGTATTGGGACTATTTCTTTAACAAATTAGATTTCAAGTTTGTCCTCACTGGCCCTGGATGACATGAACCTTTTTTTTTTCATCTTCAGATTGGCTTGTGATAGCAAAAAGTTACAGCCAAATTCCACAAGCAAAACATGTCTAAAGCAATCTGCATAAAAGAAGACATTTAATAAGCAGCTGGTGAGGCTGATGTACTTTGATTATATATTTTTTGGGGCATGCCATGAGATACATACTGGTTATGAACTGCTCCAGAACATGTATGCGACGCAGTTGTGTGCTGTTACCTTGCGTCTTCGCAATGATGATTACTGTACAATTATATAATATTTTCCCCAAGAGTCACATAAACTGTAGTGCAAATGAGCACATTTATTTGAAAAACAGTAAATTAATTCATTTTAACAGGCTGATATGACTGGTGTTCATTGTTGACTACTAGTGCTGGCAAACAATAGAGAGTGTGTTCTAAGTCACACTCACATGGCCACCCTGGTACAGCTGATGTGGTTCTGTGTGGCATCTGCTCAGGGTGCTGATTTCATGCAAGTGGGCGTAGTTTCCATGTACGAGGAGTACAGTACAAACACTGCATAGTACATAGAAAACGGACACAATATAAGTGCATTAGAAGACGACGTGGTGCAAGGTTGTGTCGTTGAAGTCGTTTAAATGCACGAAAAAATCAAAATGCAAACATTGATGCGAAGGTTTGTTCGGGGGATCAAATATCATTACCGGAACTGGGAGGAATCGTGGAAATCTACCAAGAGACCATCGAACAGAGGGGAAGAGTGAAGAGTGCTTTCCTAACACAATGTGTCTTCTATCACGGAACAATTTGTGTTAAGAATATGGACTTCGTCTGTTGTCAGAAAAAAAAAGAAAAACTCTCAAATCTACGAGGGACTAAATTCTGTACATTGTCAATAATGCTGAAAAAAAAAACGATGCTTGTGTTTTTCCAGCTTTTGCTCCCGACAGGGTTACGCGTCCCAGAACATCAGATTTATACAGCTGCAACAGCAGCCAAGGGGAGGAGTAAAGGCGTCATCTTTTAGGGAGGTGCTTGTGCTTCGGTCTTTGACCAAACTAAAGCGTCCTCTTGTGGCCTACAGTGTGTATAGCACTAACAGCTTTTTATTACAGTACGTTGTATTATTATTATTATTATTATTATTATTATTATTATTATTATTATTCTCCACAATAATGTCGACAATAAACACCTTGAAGTGAATACAAGGCTTGGATCTTTACTAAAGAATGTGTATTCTGTTGTATGCTAAAATCAAAAAAAGTGTCTGAGTTTGGGCCTCTATTTTGTTATTTTATAAGGCTAGCAGTCTGAACTGGTTGCCAGACAAATGCAGGGCACACATGGACAAACAACCATTCACACTCACAAACACAATAGGGACGATTTAGGGTGTTCAATTTTCCAACCCTTTATGTTTTTGGAATGTGGGAGGAAGCCGGAGCACCTGGAGATAACCCACGCAGGCACATGAAGAACATGCAAATTCCACACAGGAAGGCCAGAGTCGAATCAAACCCACGACCTTTGTACTGTGAGGTTGATATGCTCATCTGTCATCAACCGGGCTACTGGTTTACTAAAATCACCTATGAGTTCTTTCTTCTTTGAAACAACATTGCCACCCTCCTGGCTCCCCACACTTGAATTGGTTTAGAATTTTGAAATGTCTACTATTCTGATGCCGTACTTCATATTTTCAATCATACAATATGTCGTACAAATATTTCAAGAATCTAATAATACAGTCAAGAACGATAACATACAGTACATATACAATAAAACTTATCAACTATATTGCTTTGTAGACAGAAGGGTTACAAACTGCATGTTAAAAAGCATACAGACATTGCATACACCAAATATTTTTTTTTATATATAGGAAAAAAGGTAGGCAATTGCCTCTGTAATGTAAAGAAGGGTGATCATGACACTAGATTGCAATTGAATTTAAAAAAATTGATTTATTACAAATTGTGTGTGTGTGCGAGTGTGTGTGTGTGTGTGTGTGTGTGTGTGTGTGTGTGTGTGTGTGTGTGTGTGTGTGTGTGTGTGTGTGTGTGTGTATGTGTATGTTTTATTTTTTTCAAGCTCTAAAACCTTGAGGAGATGGTGATTTTAGACGTGGCTTCTCGTCAGACCAAAATCAGTGCAAAGATCTAGCTGCTGCCCTGAAACACTTTGCATTCAGAGTCGATGGAGCGATGTTGTGAGGAAGACGAACATCTCCAAATGTGCATACGTATCACCAAGACAACGCCTTTTCCCCATGCCAATAATTAGAACCTTCTCTGTGAGCTCCTTGTTCAGACGTCTAGATGAAGCCAAGAAACGCTCAGGGTGAAAAACATCTGGGTCACCACAAAAATCACTGAAGCATGAAGTTTATTGATAAACTTTTGAAAGTGAGTCTTACGATAATTTGGCTGCCACTCACAAGTGATGATTGACTTGATAGTGGTTGGTGAATACAAATGTGTCTTTAGAAATGAAATCATTCAGGACAATGTTGTTTGTCATACTATAGGGACATGCTGATTGGATGGCAACCATTTCAGGGTGTACCTCACCTTCTGACGTCACATCACTTTGCTTTGACCACACAAATCTACGATCTTTGTTTGAGTGCAATATTTTATGTATGTGTATTTGTATAAAACTTTATCATTGTGGTTTTCTGTTAAATCTTGGTGAATTATTTTAATTCAAGATTTTTTGTGGGTTTGTTCACTGGGCTGAATTGAATATGAGCAGGGTTGCTTCCATTGACTATACTGTGTTTGGAAACACTTTGCATTTCCTGTACAGTAGGTGGTGGTATGCACCAAAAAACTGTAATACCCAATGGGACAAGAAGAAGAAGGAGAACAAGAAGAACAATAGATCAGTTTTATGTGACGTATGCATACATTAAGTCTGGCTGCGCGCGCATCTTGGAGGCAGAAAACACACGCTTGTGAGTCGTAATAGTCTTGTGCCGTGGGTTGTCGGAATGGAAAGAGCGCACACAGAGATCTAGTCTTTTATAGAATTCCTGCTGGTAAACACCCCTTTCAGAAAAAATGCAAAAGTTATGGATGGTTACAAGCTTGACGACGGGAGAATGCAACGCGCCCAGTGTGGCAACGCAAGCGATCCCGGAGAAGCCAGCGGGTGCCCCGGGGAGAGTTCTCTTTTCTCAGTGAAGGGCAGGGCGCCCTGGAATGGGTTCGCTCCGAGAGAGGGGCGTCGTAAATCTCGCGCCAGGCCGTACCCATATCCGCAGCAGGTCTCCAAGGTGAACAGCCTCTGGCATGTTAGAACATGAAGGTAAGGGAAGTTAGAATTCCTGCTGGTAAACACCCCTTTCAGAAAAAATGCAAAAGTTATGGATGGTTACAAGCTTGACGACGGGAGAATGCAACGCGCCCAGTGTGGCAACGCAAGCGATCCCGGAGAAGCCAGCGGGTGCCCCGGGGAGAGTTCTCTTTTCTCAGTGAAGGGCAGGGCGCCCTGGAATGGGTTCGCTCCGAGAGAGGGGCGTCGTAAATCTCGCGCCAGGCCGTACCCATATCCGCAGCAGGTCTCCAAGGTGAACAGCCTCTGGCATGTTAGAACATGAAGGTAAGGGAAGTTGGCAAGTCAGATCCATAACTTCGGGACAAGGATTGGCTCTGAGGGCTGGGTCGGTCGGCCTGGCTCCGGCGCCGCCCGCCCCTCGCCGCCGCCGGAGCCAGAGTGCGGGCGCGGAGCCGGCTTCGCACGAAGGCGGGTCGGTGCGAGGCTGTCGGGTTTCGGCGGGCTGCAGTGGCGACTCTGGACACGCGCCGGGCCCTTCCCACGGATCTCTTCAGCTGCGGCGCTCGGCGGGTCCCCCCGCTGTCGCGGTCCTCGCACTTTTCCCCCCTCTGGGGGTCAGGGCCAGGGGTGGTGGCACGGGGTGCGTCTCTCCGTCGGGTCGCCTCGGCCGGCGCCTCGCACTGGCTTAGAACTGGTGCGGACCAGGGGAATCCGACTGTTTAATTAAAGCAAAGCATCGCGAAGGGCTGCGGGGGGTGTTGACACCCAGTGCTCTGAATATCAAAGGGAAGAAATACAATGTGAGAGGCAATTAAGAATGCTCGTCTTTGCAAACAACAGTGACGTCATTAAGATGCGCGTGCATCTTGGAGGCAATATTTGCAAATATTGAAACTCATCTGTAAGCAGAAACAATGAGCATTTAAAGACAGGAGTAGCTGTGCAGGCTGCTTGGGGTGAATTTTACCCTTGGCCTCAACGCGGAGTTGGATCCTTGTTAAGGTAAGGCATTTTAAACTTGTAATTAAAACTTTTGGTGTTTTAGGAGTTAAAACAGCTGCAGGCAGTCACAAGTGTGCTCCCTCTGACTGTACTTTTACTTTTCAATAAACTAGTAAATAAGTGTATGTGAAATGTACATGGGTGTGTCTGTGTCTAAAGTTAATTGGTGGGGCACTGTATGATGTAGATACACTGATAGATGGTGCACTTCATTTACCGTTTTCATCACATTGGATTTTTCAACGATGACGTGGCTTTTTCTTTTTTTCTTTTTCTTTGTTTTGGGCTGATGGACTCATTGACGACCTCTGAAATGTAATTAGAAAATGGCTACAACACTTTCATTGATACAGTACGATGCAGCAAATAGAGGCACCGTGGCAACAAGTACAATCACCTGGGTTCAAGTAAGATCTGCACTGATGGATGTAATATAGCCATGAACAAATAAAAATAAACTTGCTGCCAGAAATAAATACTTTAATAGATGTCTTACAAAAATAGAAATACATTTAAATACTATTTACACAGATTTCCAAATGACCAATACAAATGCCAATAGACCACATCTTTAACCAGTTAACCCATATTTATTTTAAAAGTCAACACATTTTTTGCTGTGTAGATGGAATATTTATACTTCAAATTTGATGTGGTACAAATCACCTCCATTTCTGCACGAAAATAACTCTGTGGTATATTAGGTCTTTGAGGTCCATCATTGAGCTTGGATTTAGACTCCCAAGGCTCTATTTTTATGCACAGTACAATTCTAGCACAAAGCCCAGTCTAATTTTGCACACTCGTAGTGTTTTCTTTCTTTTGGTAATTTCTTTGACAAGCACAGTTAGAAACAGGCGTTTGCACTACTGTGGGCATGAACACAGCCGATTATCTTCCCGTCCAATGGAAGGCTCCTTTCACTCCCTTTAAAATCTCTGCGTGAGAGCTGAACAGCCTTTGACCAGAAATAAACTCACTGGACTCCAGACAAAAAATCGAAGCTTATATGGAACTGGACGCTGACCTCCACTGGTGGATGATGTAAAGTTGGCCAAGCAATTTACAGATCACCATTGTGGAGTGGGCACTCAGAGACCACTTCCAACCCGATCGTTCGTGACTGTGTGAGAATTTTGTTGTTGTTGCACACTCTTGTCATATTAATCCATACGATGACATTCACCACACATATTCGCGGAGCTCAGAATGTGTGTCTCTGCACCTCAATTAAATCCACCAAAATTGCATTACACCGCTTCTGCCACAACTTAGACCTGTTTTCAGGTGGTCTAAAATGTTGCCTTCTTTCAGCCACCAAATTGTCAGGTGCGCCTTTTGTAAAAGAAAACGCACATGGTCCGCCGGAACGCCCAGCATGGCAAAGCAAGGTCTGCCAAATTAACAAACATGCTAAAGAGGGTTGCACCTGTACGAAAATGAAGATGCATCAGATTTTATCCTCGAGCATACGTGTGCTGTCTTTGAGAATAAAGCCCTATTGTCTTGGAGGCCTGCCTCCGCCTCTTCCCCTGCCTTGTCCAGGTTTAGGCCCCCGAGCATTTCCAGGAGGTTGGCTTCTTGGTCCAGGGGCCCGGGTCACCACCCCCCTGGGATTGGAAGCAGCCAGTGACACATCTTTTTGCAGGTTAACCCCTTTCCCGTTGGCTGCTGCACCTGGCTTCATTTTTGGAGACTTGGTTCCTTTCTCAATGACAACGTCTGAAAAGATTAACAGAGTACAAAGCGGACATAGGACGACATGCAGAGCAAAAATAGTTAACAGTGCGTACGGTGTGTACCTACCAGGTGGGCGCGGCTCTTCCGCAGTCGGTGGAAGTATCAAAGATTTGTCTGGCAGCAAGTCCTCCAAATCTTTCATGACTTGATTAGTGCTGTCCGTGTTGTTCCTGCGATTCTTCTCCTCATCTCGAGCCTTACAGGTTGACCAAATGGTTAATGGTCATTTGCTTGTTTCACCTGGAAATGAATGCATGAAGGAAATGCCAATACTCACCGTTTGCATCTTCTTTTTAAGGTCTATGTTTGCTTGTTGATATCCTTTTGACACTGCATTCAGATAATAGATGGCCAGCCTGTTGCATAGAAGAAATAAATGCGCCATTGCATGGAGAATAAGAACACACACTTACTGCACAGTGAAATACAACATCAAGATGTTGACAATACCTTTGCAAAGTTACCTAGTATTCATTTAACATTGTTTATGACTTTAGCTGTACTTTTCATCACACTCACCGCTCTTTCCAACGTGATGATGGCATAGTATTCTATTTATTTGTGCAGGTCATATTAGAGTGTGCAAGTTTAACTAAGGGTCTTGTGAGCACACGTACAGTATTAGAAGCACATATTCACTGCAGTAGTGATTTACAGGCTGCTCCTTGTTCAGTGTTATATCCCTCCACAAAGTTTAATTGTCCATTCATTTCCTATGGCGCTCATTAGACTTGCAGCTGAGCTGGAGCCTCTCATAGCTAACTTTGGGCCAAGGTACATACTGCTCGGCAGCCAGTAGCAGGATTAGATATAGACCAACAACCATTCACTGATGGACAATCTTGAGTTTTTGAGTAACCTAATGCATATGTTTATATCTGGTAGTCTTTGCATAATACTGCTGGTCATGAACGTGAAGCATGACTTAATTTGTGATGGTACATTTCATTTTAACTTACACCATAAGAAGTACAGCAGGCATGATAAGTCCAGGGTTGGTGGCATAGCCAAATATGTCCCCAATGAAGGAAGGAAGATCCTGCTCTATAGTCTCCATGACTACGTCGTACATCTTCTCTTGGCCGCTGCAAGTCAAATGAAATGATCAAATACAATTTATTTTCAGTTTTGTAGCTTAACCTTTAAATGAGAAGTTATTTCATCTGCTACTTTTATATTATATTGTGTACCTACCAGGTGGGCGCGGCTCTTCCGCAGTCGGTGGAAGTATCAAAGATTTGTCTGGCAGCAAGTCCTCCAAATCTTTCATGACTTGATTAGTGCTGTCCGTGTTGTTCCTGCGATTCTTCTCCTCATCTCGAGCCTTACAGGTTGACCAAATGGTTAATGGTCATTTGCTTGTTTCACCTGGAAATGAATGCATGAAGGAAATGCCAATACTCACCGTTTGCATCTTCTTTTTAAGGTCTATGTTTGCTTGTTGATATCCTTTTGACACTGCATTCAGATAATAGATGGCCAGCCTGTTGCATAGAAGAAATAAATGCGCCATTGCATGGAGAATAAGAACACACACTTACTGCACAGTGAAATACAACATCAAAATGTTGACAATACCTTTGCTCACTTTTGAGGTATTCATTTAACATTGTTTATGACTTTAGCTGTACTTTTCATCACACTCACCGCTCTTTCCAACGTGATGATGGCATAGTATTCTATTTATTTGTGCAGGTCATATTAGAGTGTGCAAGTTTAACTAAGGGTCTTGTGAGCACACGTACAGTATTAGAAGCACACATTCACTGCAGTATTGATTTACAGGCTGCTCCTTATTCAGTGTTCTATCCCTCCAAAAAGTTTAATTGTCCATCTATTCATTTCCTATAGCGCTCATTAGACTTGCAGCTGAGCTTGAGCCTCTCATAGCTAACTTTGGGCCAAGGTAAATACTGCTTGCCAGCCAGTAGCAGGATTAGCTATAGACCAACAACCATTCACCGATGGACAATCTTGAGTTTTTGAGTAACCTAATGCATATGTTTATATCTGGTAGTCTTTGCATAATACTGCTGGTCATGAACGTGAAGCATGACTTAATTTGTGATGGTACATTTCATTTTAACTTACACCATAAGAAGTACAGCAGGCATGATAAGCCCAGGGTTGGTGGCATAGCCAAATATGTCCCCAATGAAGGAAGGAAGATCCTGCTCTATAGTCTCCATGACTACGTCGTACATCTTCTCTTGGCCGCTGCAAGTCAAATGAAATGATCAAATACAATTTATTTTCAGTTTTGTAGCTTAACCTTTAAATGAGAAGTTATTTCATCCACTACTTTTATATTATGTCCAAAGTATACAGCCCATTACTGACCTGAATGGCCCACAGTCAAATGATGGAGACAGCGTCATTATAGTATAGACCACTGGCAGCAGACTAAGGAAGAGTACAAGCAGCAGCAGACCCATGTAGAAGTTGTTGGAGCGTGAGGCCTTGAAGACTCGTTCGTGAGGAACATTACAGGCCATCACAGCCCAACATTGATAGTACATCGAACAGAGGAGACGCAATACATTCAGACCCACCAGCCCTGGAGCGTAAAATGCACCCATCCTGAAAGAAAAATCATGGTTAGCAAAGCAAATCTTCATCGGGATGCTGCAGTGTTACGTTACTAAATGTTCCCAAATCACCATATCATTCCTTGATTGAAGATGAGACCCAGCACATTTCCACTGATGTCAAACTCACCATATGAAGGCTGGAGTAAACAAATCGCAAGCATTTGAACATAATTTAAAACAGTTCAATTTTAAACATGACTCTCCTCCCTGAGCAGCTTTAATCATGTGTCTCACTTCCTGTAATTAAGTTCGCAGTGCAGTGCAATGTTTCACTCACTTCTTGGGATCATCTATCTTGATGCCACGTTGGAATGTATCAGGTTAACTTGATGCAATACACGGTGATGTACTTGTACATCAATAATACAGTACATCATTAGCATAAATATAGTAAGAGCCCCTTTCTGCTGCATGTGTACCAGAAGAAACCTGATCAAGAACAAATTGAGCGTATGGTGACTCCTTGATAATAAGGAATAGACCGTGCTGCTACCCGACTAGTAGATGCTGACACAAATTGTGAGCACTCACAAATCCGGCCTCCAGGTCCCAGCACCAACAGTAGTTGAGGAAGCGGACAATGACAGCTCGCAGGAAGTCCCCAATCAGGATAGTCAAGTAGTTCACTTGGATGTCAGAAACAATCAGCTTCACAAATTCCTGCAAAGCAAAATAAACGATGAGAGTGAACAGAGCAGAGGGGTATTGGGATGAGTTCAACAGGAGAATTATGTTGCTACTCTTACTGACAATGCCAACTGCAGTCTCCCAGCAGGGTCCTCTGATGACGTCGGCAGGGTGGACATCAGGAGGAGGCACGTCTGTGGTGTTGAAGTAGCTGCTGTAGTTGCTACGGTACTCTTTTAACGCCCACTCGGTAGCGTTCTTGATGGTCTTCTCACTCTCCAACTTAAGAATACCAAGTAGGTGCATAGGCATGTCAGGTATAAAATCTAGAATTGTTCTTTCATTAATCTTACAAAGGGGGGATTCTCTTAATATAGACCAAAAAAACTTTTTTTTAAAACAAGCGGGAAACACTAACAATTAGTTTCTGACCAGGAATATACATTCAGCCACAAAGACCCCTGAATAGCAAACGGTGTAGCACCTAGTCCTCATTTTGCAACACAAATATGTTGGTCAATAAGTCCACTGTCTTTCTAACTCATTGCTAAATTTCTTTCCCCCCCTTCAGCAGAAAAGACTCTCCGGATTATGATTATTGTTTTCGAATCTCAAATTATTTTTGGATCTTCAAACTCAATGCCAAATCTGCTCTGCTGGCTAAGTGTGCTGTGGTGCATAGATATAGTGTAACAAGTGGTGGGATCAGTCATAAACACATCTACCCGGTGCCAACACTTTTTTTTTGTTTGTTTTTTCCTGAATGGCGTGTGAAAGAAAATAGATACAGTAAGAGAATACTGGACAAGCGCGATACAAGGAAACGGCTATTCACACACTGCCACATCAGCCTTACCTTTGCATTGACCTCGTCAAAAAGGGCAAAAAGGAAGGTGTAAAGGTTTCCCAGGAAAAGTGCAAAGATGCGTCCCAGTTGCCACTTGAGAGCAATTCGGGGGTGATAATCCTCCAGTTCAGCGATGGTTTCAAAAAGAGGAGGACACACCAAGCCCAGCAAAGACATCACAAACTCCACCTGATGGATGTTTTATAGATGGGTATGACAAACAAACACCATTTTTCATCCCACCTCTGTCCTGCATGAACCCAGGAGTCAGTATATGTGCACAAAATGTTCAGTATCAACCTGCCTCGTTCTTTTCGAACCAGGAGAGTTCATCGTTATCCATGTCTGCAAATTCTTGGGAGCGCTTTACCACAAAGTAAATGAGGTAACCACTGCCTCCCAGGCTGCACAGGATCAGAACATTGGCAAGGACTCTGAGGAAGCGACGCAGGTGGATGTTTTCATCCTTCTGGTTTTCCTGTTCATCGACAATGGATTCCTACAGGTTGCATTAAAACAACATTACGACAGATTTTAGTCATAAAGTCTTACTTTTGTGGGTTGATATGGATTATATGGACAAAAAACATTGATGTGAATTTCAAAAGTGGACCAATCCCCCATCGATAAGATTTTCTGTAGTTATAGAAAAATGAAATGATTCCTTGATGTAAATTCAGATTTTCCATTGTGGTCTCACCTTGAAGCTGGTGGTAATGGAGGCATACTTATTATCTGCTGTCTCGGGGTTTCCAATTAGGTAATCCCAGCTGGTGAACATCTTCCAGCTGAAGGTGAACTCTCCCTCATCAGCACCGTCTCCTCCTTCGTTTGAGTTACGAGCCATCCTGTAAAGAAGACAAAAATAACATAGGCCACTTCTATTCAATTGACTGCAGCACCCCAAAAGTGCCTGTGTTTGTATTTCATACGTTCTAATGACAACCATCAAGCTGTATCCAAAGATGCCAACGCCAACCAGCAAGTATGACAGGGGAAGTCTGAACTGCAGCACTCCAATGGTTCGCTTATGGTCATAGTATCCGTAGAACAAAAAAGAATATTTGCAGTAACCCTGTGGGCAAGAAATAAAGGAAATGAAGCAAAGATAAAAAGTACTGTAATGGATTGACAAAGGTAGTGGGATAGTGCACCATTACAGGTAGGAATTGAAAATGTAACAACATGGATTTGGTGCTCCTTTTGGAGCTACAATAGTTTCCACTCTTATGGGACGATCACACAACATTTTGGTGTGTGTTTGGGATAATGTTTCCCCATTCATCCATAAGAACATTTGTGGGACCAGAGATGATTGACGTTGGACCCGAGAAAAGACTTGGCTCACAGTTTCATGGTTTCATTTGATGAGGTTGAGGTCAGGGCAAATTGTTCTACACCCAACTCGTTCAAATAAAACTTGACGGAGCTTTTTTGTGCACTGGGCCAAACAATTAACACAAAGATGAATGCATAGAATTGCCCAATATGTCCAATTCATGATCAACTAAATAAGTGAGCATTTAAGAAGTGTATGTCACTATCTTAACCTTTGGAGTCTACCAAAAAACACACATAATTAATAACTTTACTGCACCATGTCATTTTGGATTCATTTGTTGGTTCCATGAGAGTTGGATAACGACAGTTGATCAATTAAACTTAGATTCTCACACCAAAATCGAAGAGCACAGAGAAGTCCATAGCTTTTGCCTGCTCTTGTCGTGGTACAGTTTTCCTGGGAATGGAGCCATATGGTAGACCCATGAGAATCTAATACACATAGTACGGGTTGTCAGACAGGAGGCACTTGATAGCTTTGTCAAATATAAAAGAATTGAAAGCACTGTACCTCAGGCAGGACCACCAAGCCAAACATGAACCCAAAGAGGACCAGGTTCAGTCCATACATCCACCTCAAAAATATGAAGTAGGATGCCACAGAGGACCCAAAGTGACCTACGAGCAGACGCTGAACTCAGTAGGGGAACCCAAATGCTTCATGAATTCAATTTTTTCTTGGAGAATATCGTAATGGTACCAACTTTCAACTTCCTTTATCTTCCCCTCCCAGGGTATGAAGGCTGTTTTGAAGTTCTCAAAGTCACGTTTGAACTTGATGAATTTCTAGGGGGAAATGTTGATATCATCACGTCTCAAACCACCAACAGTTGTATTGTCACAGCTTTAACTGTCAACGAATGTGCCGATTAAACACAGTACCTTAGTCATCATGACTTTGAACGCGTACAATTTCTTTCCCTTCCCTTTCCCGAGAGCTCCTTCAAACTTTTCAATAAACTCCTGTGCTTCCCTATTGGACGAGCGCAAAAAGTCAATCAGTAGAAACGGAGAATGCTGAGAATAGGCACCGCTCAACAGTAGTTCAATCCGGTCTGTTAATTAGTGTTAAAATCGGGAAGTGAAGTGAGAAGCATGGAATGAGTTACTGAGGGATGACGCTTTGTACATGGTGATGGTAGATGGAATGACCAGGGCACAAACCACCACACCACGCACAAAACTGTGTCAAGTTCATGAAAAAGTGATGACAACACACCTATCCTGTTCTGCTTACTTACACACATCTCTACTTTCACACAAGCTACAAAACTTTATCTATACTTTGTAGTGTACTGATTGGTTGATTAACCTCTTAATTATCTTTCATTAAGTTCAAGTACCAACTACTAAAAAAAAAAAAAAAAAGCAAGTATATTGTCAAAAAATAAGTTTACCGCTTTACACTTTCTATTAAACATTTGTTATTATTATTATTTCAGAGACATCACTCCATCAATGGAAATTATTAAAATGCTTGAAAATCAACACTGTTATCGAAAGTAATTGGAGAAACAATAGTCACGCATACTGTTCGACATGCAGGACTAATCAAGTGGAAAGCTCACATTACGATTTCTAGAGACGTGTGTGTCCATTGTGACTTTCCTTACAGGTGCAAAGACTGCACTAAAACAAGAGGGTGGCACAAATGCTATGCCTCACCATATTTGAGGCCTATGCAGAGGGTTTGGCTTTGAATAACAGACACTACTTCGTTGCTCGGGATTGCAGACACGGTTTACAAAGACTTTGATTTCAATGAAGTACAGTCAGTAGTTTGTCAAGGCTCGTGGCATTGTAAGAGAAGCGAAATAAGCAGTGAAAGCAGCAAATGAGCTTTAATACGCATCATCACATGTACAGGACATACGTGATGGTAGGCGCTAAGAAAAGCACGTGAAAGGCTTTGCATGGAACAAATACTTAAAAAGCAAATGCAAAAAAAAAAAAGAATAAGTGACAAAATTTGAGATTGATTTTTTTGTTGCAAATGAGAAAGCAACACGAGGACAGGAGTTGAAATGAGCTTTTTGGATTGCATTCTTTACTTGAGTAATATGAGTCTCCTCTTCATACGCCACGGTTTATTCCTTAGTGTGGCAACCAGTTTCTTCTTCTCCTCTACCTCTTCCTTAAGGGCTGCCATCTCTCCTTCAGACAGAGATTCTTCATCAGAGTCAGAGGAGGAAGAAGAGCTGATGAAGGGAAAGAACAGTCATGTGCCATGGATTTTTTTTTTGCAACTACGACTATTTCTTAAGACAAATCTAACTGTTGCAGACACCTGCCAGATCTTAACAGTGCTCATAAAAGTGAGCGGGTGCATCTTCACTAAAGATTTATGATCAAGCAGTTTAGATCTTTTTTTTTTTTTCCCAGTGATCGAAATAGCTGATAAGTTACGTATGGATGCAGTAACGGTTCATATACAATATAGTGAGGTATAAGCTATTTTATTTTTAAATAATGTCCTAACAATTTTCCAGCAAATAATGCTTGAGCTTTTAATGATGTCGTATGATGACATAATGTGAGCCATTCTCTTTATAAATAATATCTATCTGTCTAAACTTTTAGCAACATTTAATCTGTAATATAATAAAGCTTGCTGTCTTCATTTAATACAGCAGATCTTAGACAACAAACTTATGTTCATACATTTGGACAAAACTCAGCACATTCAGTTTTCATTGTTCCCCGGATGCTGCCATCTGTCACGAAACAGATGGGAGGTCGAGTTTACGGAGGGTTTGCCTGAGCGCGGCGTTGAATAATGAATGATTGAGTGAATAATCAGAATAATGGATCATGCTTGACTTGCTGTACAGTTTACAGCAATTACAGTGGCGACATTTGATGTGTTTGCTGACTGATTCAAACGGGAGTTTTATCTGTGATTAGATGTTCAACGGTACATTCTTCGGGCATACTGAGCTTTAGAAAAGTTGAAGGTCAGCAGGTATTGTGGGTGAGAGAGTCTCTCAGAGAATACTGCACCTGCTGCTCAACTTTCCCTTCTTCTTTTTGTCCTGCTCACCACCTTTCTCATTTCCTTTTTTCCCTTTAGTATCTCCCTTCTTCTCTTTATTCTGCTCCTCTTTGTCCTTTTTTGACACCAACTTTGCTCCCTTTTTCTTCCTCCTGCGGTCCTCCTCACTCTCCTCTTCGCTTTCCTCCCTCGCTGCTTTCTTCCTGGAAGCTTTGGAGGCTTTGGTTTTCACACTCTTGTTATCATCCTCATCCTCTTCTTCATCGCTGTCCTGGCGCTGTGCTTTCTTCTGTCTTCCTCTCTTCCTTGGTGCCTCATCCTCCTCTTCTTCACCTTCCTCTTCATCACTGTACAGCTTGGCTTTACGCTGAGCTTTGGCTTTTCTGCTTTTAATTCTTCTCCTGGCTTCTTCTAAAAAAAAATTGAAAAAAATTTTTGGGAATTAAAGTTTCAGTACATTTGTTTTTTTATTGAACTGTGATAAGAGATGTATGTATGTATGTATGTATGTATGTAAAATAATTCCAAACTTTAAATGTCAACAAATGCAACCGTTCAACCTGTGCAGTCTAATCTAGATTCAATATCCAATTTCAAACAATCAACAAAAATGTCTTCATACTCATAATAATATTCAATTTGGATTGATGGAGTCACACATATTTATTGAACAGCATCATACTGGGAGTCAATTGTAATATTTTTGTCATCTTTTTTTACCTAAACAATGCAGCAAAATATTCATGAGTAAGTGCAATCTTATCATTCTAAAGGCAGAATTTCTGATACAACTCTTGTATTGGAGCTCAAAAAATTCTGTGAGTGCACTTAGAGTAAAACATATGTGGAAAAGACAAATTCAAGTGGAAAGCAAAACTGACTCACCTTCACTTCCACTGTCGACTACAGCATCCACCTCTATGCCAACTGGAACAAGTAAAAAGTCAAACAAATGATCCCTGACACCAGTTGAGGCTTGTAACATGAAGCATTTTTGACAAAAGCATTCTCACCGGCTTCAACATCAATAGTTGCATCATTTCTTTTTTTAGAAGGCATTCTGTGTCAGTCGTTGATTATGTATTTGACCGATTTACTTATTCCTCTTCTGTCTGTTTCAGTCTCTGTCCATGAGTGAGGGAGCCTGATCCACCTGTGAAGGCAAAATATGCACACAAACACACTCACACACACACATTCGGGGGGCAAATGTGCTCCAGTTTGGACTGCTCCTTGACAACAAAGGCCATCAGATGACAAGCAGTAGCCCAGAGGAAAAAAAACAGAATTGAGCAACACTTAAAAGGACAATGGCCATGTCAATCAAAATGGTAAATGATACGTTAAGTCAACTTTTAAATGGATCATGTATGTCATACATTATATGACATGTGCAACAATGTCTGCATGTTGAGCATTGGAAAGGGAAGTGGCTTTCACATAAAATTAACAATGGTTTGTTTTAAGATGTCATTGACCTGGAAATGAGACACCAAAGCTATTAAAAAAAACTGTTAAAGTTGGATGACAGGTTTTGTAATGCTGGGTAAAAAGTGAACAGGCATGTTTTTAAATAGTGCCCAAAAATCTTAGTCGTGTTTCTACAAAGTTCATAGTTTGAAGTAGTATAGTTTATACAAACGGTCCATGTGTTTTCTTGCAGCCTAAAATCTTCAAGTAAAAGTTCAAGGTGAGGGGAATTCAATAAGCTACATGAATACTGTCTATATTTAATAGAGTATTTGCAAAATTGAGGAGTAAATGTTGTACTGACGTGTTACAACAACCGTGATGTGAGCCTATAGTCAAATGTCAGGTTGGCCCTTTTGAATAATGCAGTGAAAGAAGAGAAGATATGAAGCAACCCTTCACCTTAACCCCAATATGAAGTCATCCGTAACCTCCTCCTTTTGGTCCATCTAACCTGCACCTCCCAGTTGTCCACTCCGTTTCCATCTATCCTACCTACTCAACTTTAGTGATGATGCTGTATGCTTCTTCAAACCCCATTTAATTTTCCCAGAAAGGTGTTCATAAACCAAAGAAATTCATATTCATGTTTCTTGGTTTAAGGTGCATGGTGAAGTAGTTACCACATCGATCCAAGGGCGCAATTATCTACTTTCTGAGGGGTATGCAGACACATAACAGGCAACCCCTCACATTACATTTTTTCTTCCCTTGTTTATGTTTATATGCATCTTATTTTCGGGGACTTTCTTTACAAAGTTCTTTTAAGTGACATATTACAGCAGGGGGCATAGTGGTCGACTGGTAAGCACATCTGCTTCACGGTACAGAGGTCCAGGGTTTGATTTCGGGCTCCGGCCTTTTTGTGTGGGAAATTTGTTCTCCCCTTGCTTGCGTGGATTTCCTCCCACATTCCAGAAACATGCATGATAGGTTGATGGAACACTCTAAAATCTAAATTGTCCCCCAATTTCAGATATTGTCAGGAAGTATTTGAGGGTATTTTTTATCTCTGAAGAACTTTCAAAGGTGCTGGCTCTTAATAGACACAAAGCACAGACACAGCCACGGGTTTCCAAATGTCCAGGGCCCAACGACAATACCCACACTTCTGTTCTTGTGCCCCTCAATTGCAGGTTACCGAAAAGGGTGAGAGCTTGTACGGGTGTGTAACAACAGACACGATGAGGAGAACAGTGTAAAATGTTCGAAAAAGGCTAATCAAACCCTTTCATGAGCGGGAAAACAGCCGGTGTCACAGAGGGACAATATTCCAAAACTCAAAAATACTGAAGACCATATGTCATCAGCATTTATTTACACCTGGAACGCAAAGCCCTAACATAACACAATACAACACAATGGAATCCACAATGCACTGTGATTGACTTCTTGTATAAGTCAGCGTTAGCCACAAACACCATTTGGAGTTTATAGAGATTGAGAGTTTACTGTACCACGCTATTGACAAGTTAGTGGTGGTACTTAGCTCTGTTAACTTTAACATCAAGTTGACAGCCGGTTACAATTAACTGAAATTTGAACAATAAGATAACCTTGGCGTTACAATTTAATGGTTGGTTAAATCTACTTAACCATTGGTTGAAAAATACCCAAGTTTTGAACAACCGAGCCCAAGAAACAAGTCCAAAATAGAATTTGTTTTTTTCCATTTTTTTCACTTGATACACTTTTCTCAGACAGGCATTAGCATTTTCTCACGTCTCTCTGTTTAATATGCAGCCCCAGACAAGATATTTGAAAAAAAAAAACAACTGTGCGCACGAACAACTAATTTGTGCACACAAACTACTTATTTGTGCACACTAATTACTACTTCGCGCACACCGATTACTACTTCGTGTGCACAAACTATTATTTCGTACGCGTGAAATAGTTACAGCGTGCACACAAAATAGTTACACTGTGCACACGAAATAGTTACAGTGTGCACATGAAGTAGTAATCAAGCGCACCTTCACCGACTCACTTCTCACTGAGCTAGTCAGTGCCTTCAAAAACACACAAATTATTGCATCTGGCGTTTATATTTCATACCAACATTAATTTGTGAGATTATGACAAAAAGTTTTCATTTTGTATACAGTACATCCACCAGTAACCATGATCCCTCCCAGAGCATTGCATTTGCTTAACAAGAAAATCGATCCCGACGTCCAAGTCGTACCCTTCGCCGGGATAGCAAGCTGGCTCTCAACAGCCTATTCAAATGTCTCTCGATGATAATGACTCCTTGCAATGCTAAGCTTTTCGTGATGTCCTTGTAACTCACCCCAAGCCCCAAAAAAGACTTCGATCACACTGTCCCTTGTCCATTTTGTAGCTTTGCATCGACCTTTCACCTTTAAAAGAAGCTGCGATTGATTTCCTATTCGAATGACCCGCATGGAGCCACGGCTACTTCGTGCACACAGTGTAGTAGTCCATGCGCACAAATTAGGATCCACAAAGTAGTTTCTCATCTGTACATAATAGTTCCAGGGTGTGCACAAAATGTTTGTTTTTTTTCAAAGGTCATGTCTGCGGGTCCATATTTTGAACACTCAAAGTTCAAACCTTTGTGGATTTACAATAAAAGCAAAGATCAAAACTTTATTTCCGGCCAAAACATTTTTTGGAGAAATAAAAATCTAAACGTCCATAGGTCCATTTCTTTCATCTTTATCTAGGCTGAGTATAAGCATTTTCCTGTTAAAAAAAAAAAAAGAAGATGACAATGTCTATGAGCTCACCTTACTTGATTGCATTTCCTCGACTCTTGGGATTTACACAAAGAACAACCAGATCTCATTCTCAGAAATCAAATCAGTGAATGTTGTGCCACAATGACTTACTCTTCCTTTCATTAAGACTAGGTAATATGAGATGCCTGTGGACAGAGAAAGTTAAGATATCAGATAGTATGCCACTGTGCGGCTCAGTTACCTGGCACAAGCATGGAGGCAGAGTTATGGAGCGGCGGGTTGCTTTTAACCTACAGAGTTTTGAGCATCAAGCCAGAGGTATATGGGGACTAGAAGCTCTTGTTATGCAACTTATCATTATCCTCAGGCTTCAGCAAATCATATGATTGACAATCATTTGCCATGATTCCTGACAAGTGGATCTCAGATAACTGCAGAGTGAATACTTGATGCTTCCTTGCCATGAATTGATCATGAGCATCCGCGGATAAAATGTTGATTAGCACGGTAATTTAATTTCTGTAGTGGGCCTAATTATACAGAGCTGCATTTTATTTACACAAACAATTCGGTTTTATATTTCTCATCAACATTCCTTGGTGCACAAGATGCCCTATAGTAATTAGCTCATGAATTAACTTACAGGACACATCTTAATGTTTGACTAACAGATAGGCTGAGGGGTTGTTGAGCGACAGGACCACAGAGCAGAACAGCCGCTCGGATACTGGATCTGGCGGGGCACCGTTATCAGATCATTCAAGTCAGACATCCTTGTAACATGATGAAGATCAGATCAGGAGACCATGATGAATAGATTTACAATTAGGGCACACTTGGACATAGCTGAATTAAACTGGAGTGATCACCTGTCAAAAGACGGCATCGTTCAATGGATGCAGTGCCAAGAAAGAGTCCGTCATATACAGCTCGTTGATTTGATAGAATTCTGGAAACGTGTATATATACTGTACATACTTTGTACATGTCAAGTAAACAGTTTTTCATTATTTTGACACAAGACTAATTTATTTGTTGAGAATATCTGAGGTAATCTGATGTAGTCCTTCGTTGCTTTGACAAATAACAAATGCAGCTTGAAAACCTGGACTCACCCCCAATCACCCATTTTTAATATGTGTATACTGTATCTATATTTTACCATTTATATTTATTTATGTACTTTTTGTTCTTCTACTTCTCCCTTTCATAATTTTGCTGCTGTAAATTGGGAATTTCTCCATTGTGAGACAAATAAGGGTTTTCTTATCTTATCTTATCTTGTACAAAGTAGAATAGAGCCAAGGTTTGAAGAGTTTATCAATGTTATTGATGAGTGGCAAAACAAGATCAGCCATCACAGAAAAGGAAAATGGTTGTCTATGCTGTAGATGAATTGTTACATTATTATCATGTTAAAGTTAGTCAATAGTATACACTTGTGATCTCTTGGATCACTAAATTTCCATCATTTTATTGGTTAAGTTTGACTTCAGCAGACCAGAGAAGTCCTTTAGCATGAAAATGTGTCCAAACACCCATGGAGTAAGGCTACTAAATTTTGTATCACACACTTCTGAAAATGACTTTATAGTAAAGTGCTTTTTTTTTTTTTTTTTTTTTTTTTAAATTCATGCTCACTCACTTAGTGTCTCTAAGCCTTGGCACACTGTGCATCTTCCGATCACTTTGCTGAGAGGAACTGGGCAGGTACCTAGAGCTTTCATTGTTGCTATGGTGATAACTTCCGGAGGCAGAGGTTCTGGCTGCTGAGTGTACTTTGTCTCTGACAGCATTTTTGCCATGATGTGATTTCTGAGCTCGAACATGGTTTTCTTTCCCATCTAAAGAGGAGGAGGAGGAATCCTTAATAGACCACCAAATATTGAAATCCAACAACCTGTAATTCATGTGAAAATAAGATATTAGCAGCATTTTTTTATGATTATTATTGTTGATTCAAGTATCTTCTCACTTTAATGGTCTTGCAGCAAAGCTTTTTTCTTCTTTTGTTTTTCTGCAGCCTCAGATGCAGCTTTTCTGACTTC